TGGTTAGTCATTGCCATTGGATGCCCCCATGTGTTTAGATTGTGTAGTTTAACGTGAAAACATTTCTGAAAATTCACAGTGAAGCGGCTGATGAACCAAGCAGCACTTCAACGGGAAAGCAAAGTAGGTCTAGGCTTTTCAGTCCAACAGGTGATTGATGCTTTAGTTGATTCAGTCTCCAAGGAGTCAGAATTTCAAACAAGAATATGTTTCCAGTTTAAGTCATACAGACTGAGAGCTCGAGTGATGAGGAGAATATTGAGCCTTATAGATCTAGAGCTAGATTGATGGGGGGGGGGGGGGGGGGGGGGGGGGGGGGTTTACCTTGAATGCCTAGGAGCTCAGGTAAAGGGGACAGTTAGGTTCAGGGCTTCAGGTCTGGTAGAGATACACAGACCTCTGTGTGTAGGGGACATGCAAATGCAAGAAAAGACTATCCCCCGAAGATAAAACCTACCCCCAAAATCAGTCCTAGCAAAATCTTCATGATGTTTTTAATATAAGCCCTACCCAAAAAAATATAAACCCTGGTTAAGATTTTCAACTAGACTGGGTAAAGTTTTCATATAAATTTTCATGGGATAAAATCACTGACCGCTGTGGTAACCAATGCAGAACGAGCAGGCTACATGGACAAGGTATGTTTACTTCAGGAAAACTTTATTGCTGGACAAGAGAGATTGGAGCCAATAGTTCTACAGGAAATGCGGACGCAAAAAATTCAGGTCGGGATCCTGAGATCCAGAATAAGATAACATGACTGACTGAATGAATGTAGATTTTTATTTCAGAAAAAAATAAGACATCGCCAAAAATTTAGCCCTAGTGACTTTTTAAAAAACAAAAATTAGTATAAGACCCAGTTTTTTTTCCGGGGAGACATGGTGCTCTGTAGATGATCTGTTTCAATATTCAAAAGCTAAAACATAATTGTGTATTGCAGAACAAAGCAATCTGCTGACATACATAACAGTGTACTGCAGAACAAAGTAATCTGCTGACATACATAACAGTGTACTGCAGAACAAAGTAATCTGCTGACATGCATAACAGTGTACTGCAGAACAAAGCAATCTGCTGACATACATAACAGTGTACTGCAGAACAAAGTAATCTGCTGACATGCATATTACATATGTCTCAACTAATAGCAAATATACGAAACATGTTTTTTTTTTTTCAAGTGAACATGTTTAAAAAAAAAAATACAACTATAGTATGTCACTTAAATTTTTTTTTTCAGCATAACACATGCTGGCATAGTATACATTTTGTGAGGACAAATAAATGACAAACTACTCCCTTTTGAAGTAACAAAACATATTTGGGACTAAACGAGTCAACGGCTTCGGCGTGAACAAATCATGATCTGTTTTCTTCCCTTAAGAAATAAAAAGAAACGCTATCAACATTACAAAGTGTACTGATCGGCACCAGTAGAAGATAGTAAGAACATTATTAAATACTTAGGAGAAAGAAAAAAAAAAGAAACTGAAATGGGAGCATTTCTATCTAGTTTCCATTCGTTTTGTCCAGCTTCCAATGTCGGTAAACTACTAGGTTTTAACAAACGCTTTCTTGCAACTGTTGTTCTACAGTTGATGAAGGCAGATACATAATGCCATATCTCTGCTTTACCAAGCAGTTTGAGACAAGAAGACGTAGACAACAGTTTTATATCTAGTTGAATCCTAACGACGAAATCTCAAACACATTTCACAAAAGAGAAAACATGTTCTCGACATGAATACTGCTAGCAGGGTCACGGGTCTTGCATTTGACAAACCCTCTCAGCTCTTGTATTTGACAAACCCACTCAGCCCTTGTATTTGACAAACCCAATCAGCCCTTGTATTTGACAGACCCACTCAGCCCTTGTATTTGACAGACCCACTCAGCTCTTGTATTTGACAAACCCAATCAGCCCTTGTATTTGACAGACCCACTCAGCCCTTGTATTTGACAGACCCACTCAGCTCTTGTATTTGACAAACCCACTCAGCTCTTGTATTTGACAAACCCACTCAGCTCTTGTATTTGACAAACCCACTCAGCTCTTGTATTTGACAAACCCACTCAGCTCTTGTATTTGACAAACCCACTCAGCCCTTGTATTTGACAGACCAACAGCATCAGAGCAGGCCAGATACCATGTTCCCTAAAATGAAGACGTACCCCAAATGTAAGCCCTGGCACAGTTTTTCACATATGCACCCCACAGACATTTCAAAATAGCCATTTTTTAAAAATAAATACAAAAACAATTTCATCAATTGAAGTGATTATTCAAATTGAATACAAAATGTATCCAGATGTTATGTTTGGTATCTCAATTACAGTTTTTATGGGAGGGAAAAAAACTGAAAGGAAAAACAAAAGAAAATGTAAATAGTTTTAAAACAAAAGTTAACATATGTATAGTAGAAACTCAGAAATATCTGTGTGAAAGAAAGCAAACATTCCACTCCAGCACATATTTCTGTAAATCAATTGACAAACACATACCATAATTTTATTTTCATTTATTCGCCGAGGTGCTGAACCACATCTGGTGTTGCACTAGGACTCGTACTGGTCGTGACCTATATATACCTTGCCGCAGTCATCCCACAAATAGGTACTCCTTTTCTTCACAGGCTGTAAACTCTGGCGGAGAGTTCCGGTTGTTGGTCTACTTCTGGACTTTAGTCTTGCTCCAGAACCTGAGTGTTACGTGCACATCCCGTTTGACAAATCTGACTTATTTGTATGCAGAATGTTGGTTCCTTGCCTCTCAAGCAAATGCACTCCAACTTTGAAGAAGCCCCCCCCCCCCCCCCCCCCCCCCCAGTTAGTTGACTCTTATGACATGCTTGTTGGGGACACAGGGAGACAGTCTATTCTTGTTTTCCAAACAATGGGGCCTCTGACCCCACACGGGAAGTAACAGATACTAACTGGGACCCCTGACCAACACAGATCACATTCAGAAGTATCAGCCTGAGAGGCTAAATTCCAACAACCTTCACATAGATAAGCCAGATCCGTAAAATTGATGTACTTGTACGAGTCAAGTTCTAGAACAAAGCCGAAGCCCAGAAGTGACCGAACAGCTAGAGTCTAAACCGGCTGAACACAAAGAACTTGAGTTACCCAAACCTGTCATTTCCTCTCACACACAAAAAGTCTACAGCATTCCGAAATGTATAATTAGTCAGATTTATGTTGGTAAATGCTGAGATTAATAAACTTCTGGGAACACAAAAGAAAAAACCCTATGCTGCAAGTTGACTCACATGATGCTAATTTTATTGCGGCAGTTTATATAAATGATAAAATGTAAATTACTCAGCTAGACCATTTCGATACCATAACGATTTTTGGGTGATACCCAGAACATAACAGGTTGTTATTTGGCACATTGGCCTGAATACCTTGGCATGAACTCTGATAGATGCTAGTCACCCAAGTATCATGCAGACAATGTCACACTCAGCCAGGAATAGTCAAGCAACACTGAAGGTGATGGAAGCTGCCAATATCGCAGCAGCACCCACTTTTTTTCTCTGCTAGCAGGGCCTTGTGTTAAGCATAACAGACTGCGGTCTAGGCCTCCTCAGTAGAATCTAACTAGAAAGATCAGACTGGGTTTAAAATTAGGCTATGAGAATCATATTCAGCTGCACAAAGGGCATTCTGTGCAATACGTTCTGGGTTTACCGTCAATCACTATCAGACAAAGTTTCACAGGTCAAAGCACACATTAACTCTTTGAGTCCCAAGAAACACATCATACGTTCATATGTTACCGCCTGAAGCCTAATAAACGCAAGATGCGCCGATTTTACATCTCTCTTGACTACCCCTTGGGCCTCTGATGCTAAACCCCCTGGGACTCAGAGTTAAGGTATCAGCAGACGTTAATCACTCTCTGCATAATGCTTTCAATGACATAATAGGAGCGCATCTCAATGACGCCACTTGTAGATGGTCAAGGCTGAAGACTCAATCCAGCAGGCAGGTGTGTGACCTGGAAGAACTCAGACAAGGAAAGGAGTGAATGAATACACCAGCAGATACGTGTAAATCCTATAAAGCAACCATGACACTGGGAAGGTACTGCAAGAATCTGATTTTTGCTGCCACTGACAGATTAACATTCCTGTCCAGAAGACATCATCATCTACACCAGCGGTTCTCAACATATGAGTCACCACTTCTTTTGGGAGTGAATGACCCTTTCATTGGGCTGCATAAGACCATTAGTCACTGAAGTTATTAAGTGTTAACAACAAACATTTTATGGTTAGGGGTTGCCACAACATGAGGAACTATATTAAAGGGTTGCGCAGATTTCTAAAGTATAGACTAGCTTTCTGCTAACTGAAGAGCTAAGGAGGATGAATAGTGGATCAGTTCAGTGACTGAAGGTTACCACGATTCCTTTACTAAAGAAGAGGGCAGTATTTGGGTTTGAATGTCCCGTAGACGGTAACACTAAGTCCCTACTCAAGACTAGTTTTTTAAGGAAACTTTCAACATTTTTTCTTGGATATTATAAGAAAACTGTAACATTTGTTATTTCCTAGATATTATAAGAAAACTACATTTTTATTTCCAAAATTACTGGGAAACTGTATTATTTGTTATTTCCTTAATGTTATTAGGAAACTAACATTTGTTATTTCCTGGATATTATTAAGCAATTGGAGCAAACACATTTACTAATGAAAACGCATACTATCCTGCAAGTCTGCATTGCCTGTATTGACTTAAAGTTATTTTCTCTAAACATGCTTATTTTTTTATTAAACGATTGCATACACAAATACCAAAAAGGCTATGTTATCGAGCAGACAAATGGGTCGGCTACTTTTCAAAAGCCTGCCCATGTTCCGCAACAATGACTGAAAGAATCTAAGGGGATGAAATCCTAGTCTAAGAGAATGTCAAGCTCAGAGAAAAGAAGGATGGGAATAACCCCCATAAATATTTCTAGGCGGTGTAACAGAGAATCTACGTCAAGAAATGGGTGAAGATGTCACCGAACTGTCCACCTGTCCTTGCTGTTGTGGCGGCTTCGGCTTGGAAAAATGTGCCAGTTTGTCTTCTACAGAGCCAATCAGCTTGTTGTTGATGAACCTGTCCACATGATCACTAACTTGAGGCTGACATGTATCAGGCCAGGCCAGTTCTTCTTTGGGTACCATCTCCAGGCTTTCGATAAATTCTTCAATAAATTGAGTCCTGCAATGTAGAGGAAGGGAGACAAATTATGATAATGCATCATAAGAACTCCACACAAACAAAAATAAACATTATTATTGCAGAATGAACATGCAATAGAAAAAAAGACGAACACCTTTATCTCACAAAAATCTTTTAAAATGACCGTTTTCAAAATTTTGTTACAAAGAAACATTGTTATAATTCTCTGAAACTCTTCCCAAGAAATTACTAGACCAGTGGTTCTCAAACTTCCTAAAGCCGTGACCCTTTAATATTTTCCACATGTTATAGCGACCAACAACCATTACATTATTTTTGTTGCTACTTCATAACCTCAGTGAATATGTGTTTCCCCGATGGTCTTAGGCGACCCCTGTGAAAGGGTCGTTTCGACTCCAAAGCTGTCGCGACCCACAGGCTGAGAAACGTACGAGAGGAAAAGAAGAAGCAGCAGAAGAAATTTAGGGTCTTGGTCAGTTATGATACAAATTCAGGGTATTGAAACCTATGACAACCAACCAGACAGGCAAGCCTGCTAGTTACTGTGTCATCATGACGCTTAAATCACTAACAAAAATAGATTTTTCATTTTCAAAGTTATTATTTTATATGATCATGATTTTTTAAAAAAATGAAGGTAAATAATCAAATACAAATGGAGCAAATGCATAATAGCTTTCCTTTCCTTAGGCCAAGAAAACAGGGGTTTTAGTGGACACAGACAGAGAGCAAAGTGATACAAGTTTATTATGATGTAACAATAGCAACACAACAAAAATATCAATTTTCCCTCACCCCAAATATCTCAAAACATTGGGGGTGGGGAAAGGGAGGGGGAAGAGAAAGATACTCTAATTCTGATTGTTTACCAGCTGTAAACACTCCGACAGAAAGTTCTGGTTGTTCACCCACTTCTGGACTTTGATCTTGTACCAGAACTTGAGGTCTGGAACAAGACTGAAGGCCAGAAATTGACAAACAACCAGAACTTGAGGTCTGGAACAAGACTGAAGGCCAGAAATTGACAAACAACCAGAACGAGTTGAAAGCTGGTAAAAGCTAAGAAGAACGCCACAGAGAGCCCACAATATGCAATGAAAATAAAATATTCTGAATCATTAAAAAAATATTAATGAAGATGATCAGACTTTTACAGATGAAATATTAAGACAAATATTTCAGAATACTATATATCATGGATAAAATGCTGACATTCTTCAAGATCTGATTCCAGAAGAAAGCTTGTTATTAAACAGTGAAAAATGAAATAGGCTGTGGGCCAAATTAAAAGTCATAGTGGTTTAAAAAGAACAGTGAAAGGGATGGTTCCTGGAAGAGATAATAGTCAACAAAGGTACACACAGAACATTGGCCATGTTTATACATGAGGCTTGGAAGCAGAACAAGTAAATGACCCGCTTTCATCACATTTAGGCCTATGGTGCTAGATCTATATTTTACAGAACAATCATCACTTGGTGGATGATGAGGTCAACATCATGCCGGTAGCCTTTACTTTCCAGGTGTTTAACTGGTATCAAAACTAGCAGCCAAGTTAATTTTTTAAACAAAACAAAATGTCTCAGTTCGGATTCGAACCCACAGCAGTCAGATCTGCAAGTGAGTGTCTAGCTGCTTTACAGTGTAGGCTCCTGCAGGAAGGAAGAGACTGGATTCAAAGCCTTTCAGGTGGGCTGTGATGAGAGTTCTGCAAAGGACAGGAAGACATGATGATGCTGTAGTGTTAGGATAAATAGGAAAAGATTTAATACAAGATTATGACACAGACAAAATAGGAGTACATAAAATTAAAAGTACTAATGAAAACAGATTGAAGAATGACACATCACAGCCTGGACCAGGTATAGAAAGAAGTAGAGTATTCCTCAAGCAAAGTCTATTCTCCTTTATTTGTTTTAATGAAACACTGCTCATATGGGCTGCATATTTACCATTGTGTCTTCAGCTGGTTATCAATGTCAACAGGTGAAGTATTTTTGAAGTAGTCCTCACCACATTTGATCAGACAGCACAGCAGGGAGATACCAAACTGCAGATATCAAAATTGAAGAACTATATAACTACAAATAACAGTTAATAAGTGATGTAAACACTGAGGACAATGCTAGTTTTGATTTCACACAGTGGAATTCTTGTCTTGCAGTGAACAACGTGTAGCAATTCTCTTCTTCACAGGCAGTAAACTTTGGCAGAAAATTCTGGTTGTTTGTCCACTTCTGGCCTTTAGTCTTGGTCCAGAATGCGAGTTTTGCATGAGCAAAGATCTGGCTTATTTCTATGCAGAACTAAGGCAATTATTAATCAATTACAAACATTCATCAACTGGTGATGCATAGAACAGAGGGATTGAATGGTATGATAGAATTAATAATGCAGAACTTTGTGAGAGAACTAAACAAGTTCCAGTAGACCAATAGGTGAAGAAAAGATGCTGACATTGGAAAAGACACACTTTAAGAAAACCTGAGAACAAAATAACTCAAATGTCTTTGCACTGGAACCCACAGAGGCGCAGAAATAAAGGAACACCAAAAAAGCACATGGAGAAGAAGGCTAGAGAGTGAAGTTAAAAAGATGGGCAGAGCTGCACAAGAACGTGGCCCAGAAACACACACAGGAATGTTGTGGCAATGAATTCTTGCCTACTGGTTAGCCATGTGACAATAGGATAGTTTACCTTCTTATGGTATTTTGCATCTGATTTGCTGCATGGTTCAAGATTGACAGCCAGTGTTTGCAATCCCACGAGTGGTTACAACTCAACCTCATGCATTCATTCTTATGTCATAAACACTGGTGACCAAATGGTTCAATAAACAAACGATTTCTGGCTTTCTCTAAACAGAGGGATGTACCTGAATGCATACTGCAGCTCTTCTGGCAACCACTCATGCATGCTCACTCCTAACAGTTTGTTTAATTCTGCCACACCTGTTAATATACCTGTCATACACTTGACATTTCTACTTTGATCATGCCTCTTATTTTGTGTTGTTTTCCTATCCTAATCAATATATGACCAATGAATACTTCCTTAACAGAATCATATCAGAATTATAACTAATTCTGAAAATTTGTGTTAAATTTTCTCATTGCTTTAAAAAAAAAACCTGCACACTTTTACACAAATCTTCAACTATTCACAAGACTTACAGAAGTATGAAGCAACAGGGACAGTCCTTCCTCATTTTGCTTAGGATGTTTTTGCAAAATGGTAGCAAAGTGAACAAGGCATTCTAAGTCACACTGTGCCAAATATCTTGAAAGAGGAGCCATTAGCACCTGCAAGCCCTAAACAAACAACAGGATAATTATTAAAATCAAAACCTCCCTGATAAGTAAAATTGTTTCAACAGTTAATGATGAAGACAACAGACTGTTTCAACAGTTAACTATGATGACAAGTGAAACTGTTTGAACAGTTAACTGTGATGACAACTGAAACTGTTTCAATAGTTAACAATGACGACAAGTGAAACTGTTTTAACAGTTAACTATGATGACAAGTGAAACTGTTTCAACAGTTAACTATGATGACAAGTGAAACTGTTTCAACATTTAACTATGATGACAAGTGAAACTGTTTCAACAGTTAACTGTGATGACAACTGAGACTGTTTCAACAGTTAACAATGATGACAACTGAGACTGTTACAACAGTTAACAAAGATGATAACTAAAAGTGTTTCAAAGGTTAACAATGACAACAAGTGAAACTGTTCCAACAGTTAACTATGATGACAATTAAAACTGTTCCAACAGTTAACTATGATGACAAGTGAAACTGTTTCAACAGTTAACTATGATGACAAGCGAAACTGTTTCAATAGTTCACTGCATTGACAAATAAAAGTGTTTCAAGAGTGAACTATGACAACAGGTGAAACTGTTTTTAATAGTTAACTACGATGACAAGTGACTGTTTCAACAGCTAAATATGATGACATGTGTCAAACCAATGTTGTTTTGATGAAAAACGACTTACCTCTTCATCTTGATCTTTCTTAATTAGTTTTGGCAAGTGTGAAAACAGCACGGTCACGATTGACAACCACTGCACCTGAGGGTGAGCACATATATACATATATATATATACAAATACACACACAGATATTGCCTTATCTTATTTTCTCTTATATATTACAGGGCTTGCAGCTGATTCCTTCATTCACAAACTTCAGAGCAGAGCAGCAAGCAATTACTGATTCAGCTAAAGTGCTCGATAAAAGAAAAATTAAAAACAGCAACATTGTTTTCCTCTGTGACTGCATGTCAATCCTCCAGGCGACTCAGAGGGATCCAAGAGACAACATGGAGAGAGAACTGACCCAACAGGTAAAAAGACTCGCAGAAAACAATCAGATCGTTCTCCAGTTGATCCCGGCTCACTGCGGCATACCAGGAAATTAGAAAGAAAAGCTAAAAATGGAACAAAGGAGAAAAAAGACACCCATACATTATCATTACCAGAAATAAGAACACTTATCATAGGAAAATACAGGAAATTGTGGAGAGAACAACAGTAAATATCCAGAAGACCACATCAGCAAACATAACAGAAAGCAACGTACAACTATTTTCTATCTACGAACAGGACACTGCAGGCTCATCTACCACACGCACGAAACAAAGATTGTCCTCACAGTGTGCCTGTGAAACAGGACCCCAAACACCTTAGCACATTCTGCAGACCTGCCCACTCTACATACAACTTCGAAAAGACACCTGGCCCCAAAAAGAAAGTGTGCAGAGCAAGCTATGGGGAACCATACCATACTGGACCTGCAGCTGACATGCGAGTTCATAGAGGCAACCACCCTGATGGTCTGATCTGAGCATACAAAACGGAACGCAAAGAAGAAGAAGAATCCTCCACTGTGTTTTATCATTGAAATCTTGTATGAAATCCATTCCAGCACATTTAGGATTTCTCGTCCATGATTATTTTGGCTTTTTCTGGGACATTCCACTTTCTCAATACATATATTTCTCATTTCAGCCCCTGCTGTGTGATTCAATGTTGGGTTTAACTCAAACTGTGCCCAATACATCACCATCTCTCTCTCTCTCTTTCTCAAGGAAGCATGTGTACACACTCTCCCTCACATAGTGATTACTGATGAGCAACGGCATTAACTTACATGAGGTTCAACAATCATCTTAGCTTAAATAAAGCAAAGGACCCTTTTCCACGCATTAAGGCATATTGGGTTAGTCCTATTTATTTCTGAAGATTTTGGCTCTCTGTGGGTAAAGTGGTCTACATCATGCCAGCTCCCTTTACATATCAGGACTTCATCTGGTACTCATTAGAGTGGTACTCATTAGAATCTGAGTCGACATTGGAACCAAAGTCATTTTTGAAGAAAAGTCCGGTGGCATCAAGACCTGAATCCATGATTCTCAGATCCACAAGGGGAGCGTCCAGCCACTGCCGCTCCCATTTTGACTTACATAAGGTTCAAAAATCATTTTTATGAGAAATTACTATCCAGGTCTACAAAAAACAAAATGTGGCAAATTATTGCGTCATCGTCATGTGCTGAAAAGCGTAGCCATCACGGTTTACCATCTTACAGAACCAAAAATGAGGTACTTGTTCTGTAAAGAACAATATCTGAAAGCCCGATAGATATCTTCAATATGCTTTGTCTAAATGTATAAAGTACAAAAACATACTACAAGATGGTGGAGACTCATGAGAACAGCTAGACTTGTCCATACCGCATTACTTGTGACTAAAGGCATTACAAAATATATTTACCTTGTCCAAAAGAGGCATAAGCCTTGCCAGCAGCTTTCTGCCCTTGCGGACCCGAAGAGTTGGCAGGAAATTTCGGAGACTGTCGTCTTGCATAAAGTAGTCATAAACCGTTTGAATTTTTTCCAGTCTCTCTTCAAACAGTGGCAATCTGTGAACAAGTATTTAGTATACAAACAACTGAGTATGAGTATTCAATATCCTTGTGTAGATTCCAGAACCCCACTGTGGAAGGGGTGGGGGGGGGGGGGCAGACCCACCTCACTCTAACAAGCATGTCATAAAAGTTAACTAATTAAGGTTGTTTCCTTCTAAGTTCCTGTGCATCTGCCTGAGAGGTAAATAAATAAGCCAGATCTGCAAAGCAGATGTGCATGCAAAACTCCAGCTCTGGAACAAGATCATCAAAGTCCAGAAGTGAACAAACAACCAGCACTTTACATTGCAGGTTACATCATCATCAGTCGGTGAATACTGAGAAGCAGAATGTTGATTTTATGAATAGTAAAGAATTTACTACAACAGGCATGCAACTTTTTAAATAGCAACATTATTTAAACAACGGACAGATATTGTAAAGACCACTTTCAAAGTAAGTTAGTTGCAGTTAAAACTTCATGGCAAAGGGTCACTCCATAATTACTTCATGCCTAAGCCGGTGAAAACCACTCAAAATATCTTTAACTGTCTCATGTCAAATGTAAACACACACAAAAATTCATGCCAAGGCATTTATTGTATTGCAACAGACATGCCAACACCAACAGTGCATCACAGATGGAAGCAGCTTTGACAACAAAATTGCAGCTGAACATGCAATACTGCATGATGCAAACACATCAGTAACCAGGGCCAGTAGAAAACAACACTCTGAGGCTTTAACCAACTGCCCACCTATCAGCCATACTGTACCAGACAACATCAGTATTACACTGATTTCAAACCTGGCAACAAGGAAGCTTTGATCTTTCTATAAGACCCTTTGAAATACTAATTAAAAAATATAAAAATTTAAAGACACTAATCATCATGCAAATATTTACTACCTTCATCAAATACACACAATCATGGTCCACAATTACTCATACATTTCCCCTAATTAATTTATCAATGTATGTGATGACACATTAAAAGAAAGCCATAGTGTCCAGGATTTTCTACATCTGACTTCTTGCAGAAGAGATCAGATGTGCCACAAAGACACAGTAATGACTAGGAAGACACTTTGATAAACTGACACAATGCAGACATTAGCAACTGGCAAAAAATCTCTAGAAAATGATTTTAAATAAATGGGGAAAGGGGGGTCCAGCTATGATAAACAACACAGACAGAATTAAATAACTGGATGAAAGCCGATAACACAGTTCTAGTACTTAGCTCTGCATTAAAAGTAGCAATCACATAAACAGCACCGTAACACTGCTAAAACAAATGTGAAAAGACAAAAAAAGTAAACACTGAAAACAAGAATCAGAGCTGGTAGAAACGGACAAGGAGAAAATTGTGCGGTAACACATATAGAAAGACAAGGGCCAATCATTGAAAATTAAAATCACTGAAAGGAGATATAATATACAATATAAATGGGACAAAGTAGAGAGGGAGAAGGTGAGAGGCACAGAGAGAGAGAGAGAGATAGAGAGGGAGGGGGAGAGATAGAGAGAGAAAAAAAAAAGAGAGAGAGAGACAGAGAGAAACTTGTTTTAAAAAAATGTATATCTTCACAAACATTATGACAGACTGCTAATGTTTCTTATTAATGACATTACCTGTTTTCATCAGGAAGTGCTAACACCTTTTTCTCAATGTCGTCTACATCGAGGATCACATTAAAGCCCTACAATGACAAACATACAGTTAAGGCATGAGGCACAATTTCCCACTCAAAATATCAATGTGTTGTGGAGAGAGAGAAAAACTATTAAATTTACATACAGTAAGCACAACTGTAGCACATACAAAACTGCACAGAAACATTCATTCATTCTTGAGCCATCACCTATGATGTGCGATTATGCCTCTCCTCTGCGATCTTCAACAGCATATTTAAGTTCATGCTATGGCAAAAGGCTGCCACAAATCTTTTCATGTTGTCTTCCTGTCTCTTTTCCCATATGTGCAAACATGCCTCTCTTCTGCAATCTTCAATAGCATATATCAGTTCATGTTATGACATAAGAATGTTATAAATCTTTTCACATTGTCCATCATCTCTTTTCCCACAGATATTTCCATATCACAGCATGTTCCAGTTTCCTTCTTCTCATCTCATAATATAACCAAGAACAGACGACTGTCTCTACGTGATGTTTTTGATAATTTGTCTTTGAAGCCATACCCCTTTCAAAACATCTGGGTCCCCCTTTGAACCCCCCCCCCCCCCCCCCCCCCCTCAAAAAAAAATTCTTCTGTAAAACCACATGTCATATTAATAAACAAAATGACAAGGACATTTTTTGTTTGTTTTTATTAGCAGTTTGCATATCTACCATTAAAAATCTTATTAACATAATAACATGTGCATTTAATTACAGATTAAAAACATATACTGACCAAAACATATCTCCATACTTTCTGTTTCACTTGTTGCAGAATCTACTAGCCTCCTCTTTTTAATCACATTTTTGTTATGATGCAAAAGAAAGGGGCGGGGGGGGGGGGGGGGGGGGGTCTCTTGCTTTATACTCAGGGGGTTGGGGGGGAGTGGGTGTGACCTGAAAAAAGTTGGAGATCACTGCTCTAGAAGAAATAAACAGACTGTGTTGCTTCAATGACAAGATGATGATAATTATTTCGAAGCTTGCTTACTTACTTAATCGCTCCTCTTCTACCTTGGGGTGTAGAGGTTTGCCAGAGAGATCGCCAGACGTCTTATTTCGAAGCTAACTATCCATATTACAAATGTGTTTACCTTTTCAATATCCATAAGCAGCTGTCGGTATCTCCGGAGCTCCTTGCTGACATTTTTCTGTGTTAGATCCTCATTGGTTGGAGACATATTGCGACAGACGTCAATGATCTGCCGCGGGTTATGGACACTAGCTGCTGTCAGCCGTCCTAAGGAGCCCTCAAACTGAGCTGAAAGAAAACAAAGTATTACAATCTCTATCTTCTTTGTGTTCACCAGCTGTAAATACTGGTGGAAAGTTTTGGCTGTTTGTCCACTTCTGGGTTTTAGTACTGTTTCAGAACTTGGGTTCTGCATAAGTTTTGCATGCACATCTTTGTACAATTCTGGCGTATTTGTATGCAGACTGCTGGCTCCTTGCCTCTCAGGCAGATGCACTCCACAAGGGTGTTGAGACCAATCAAGAAAATCCCACCTCTTCTATAGGATGTCATTTGCTTGATACAAGACATGTAATTTATAAGGAGAGTGCTCTCCGTGTGATTTACCACGCAGTGAACAGGTCAATGCTGAGATTGGTCGAAGCTTTAACAATAAAAATGAACAACCCCTTCTTTGTAAGCAGAAGGAATTTGAAATAAGTTTGAAGTTACCATGGTAAGTCACATGATTATCATAAACTTCCAGCAATTAGATGAACACAATGTATCAAGAGAGACTGTAGTAAGGTGAAATTTTTTCAGTTTGTCATGCTTCTTATGTGGATGTAACTCTATGGTAATGCACCTGACAAGACACAGTGAAATATGCCTGGCACTAAATTGTGCAATGCATTGTCTGTGTCCGCATTATTTAAATTAATTATGGGAAAACATTATTTTGAATATTATATATGATGGATAAATCTAATATTTCTACCAGCTTAAATGCCATCCTGGCATGCCACAAATTCTGTAACAATGTTCTCTTTTGGGATTTCTTTTTCCTATACGGCCCGGGACCAGGTAAGTACTTCTCAATTTGGGCTGCAGACAAAAAAAAGGTTGCCCACTTTTGCTCTAATGCAAAAACCAAACCACTTTCCAGTGACATTTGTATCTAGATATCTAAAATTGCCATATAGTTTTCATAGCGACTTCAGTCATGCACTTTTTGATCAAATGAGGAAGCACATACATTTCCTACCCAAAAAAAAAACAACAACATATTTTGCCAGGTAACATACCAGGTGTGTAAATTCGGGGTTCCAATCTGACCATGTTGGGTAACAGCAGCTCTGGTTCATTGGTCATCCTGTCTGAATACATGCCCCTTTGTTTGTCCCGTTCAGCTGTCTTCTTCTTCATGGTGTAACACTGATGGAACATAGAACATTCACACATAATACTTATAAAGTGTGTGGTGGGGGAGAGAGGCAGACAGACAGAGGGAAGGGGCAAGATAGTGAGATGGAAAGAGAGGACGAGGAGGAAGACAGGTAGAATTTTTGTGGGTAATATTCGATGGACAATTGGAAACACAAAGTTTGAATACCAACAAGACACCAAAAGTGAATAAGGAAATTGACATTCCTAGGTAGCATAATTCCAGATGAGAAATAAATGCTGAAACTACTAATTTAACAAATGTGTCATAATTTGGGTTAAGAATCAAGGACTGGAAAAAAAGATTTCAGCACTAGAGAGTACACACACATTAAGAAAATATGTTAACCACAGAAGTAGAGCTAGTGAGAGACCAAGTTTCTTTCAGGCAGAGACAGTGATGAGAGCGACATTCAGCAAAGGACCTGCTACATGATTATGAGACATTACCTATGGATCCATGTCATTGTGTGTGTGTGTGTGTGTGCATTGTCCATATACCTTATATAGGGGGGCTTAGCAAAATGACCCAAATGTGATTGCTGGGAGAGATAATCTGCTCTGTCTAGTTCATTATTTACTTTCTCTAAGCATTTGGCTACCACTATCCCATTGATAGGCAACTTCATTTTATAATAAGAGTGAATTATTATTCTTTTTTTTTACCTGAGGACATAACCGGGCTATGCTCATCTACAGCACTGCTGCAAAATGTGTGCCTTTTGGCCAATATGTCTGACTTCTTCAGGCATTTGTTGTGTAGGTTAGCAATCCTAGTTAGTTTAATCTGAGTCTCACTAGTGTGTCATCATCTTGCTTCCTCATCCAGAAGTGCTGCTCTCAGCAGGACGGTCCAGGCCAGCCAATTAATGATGACCAATCAAGAGAAACATGGGCAGAACAGGAGAATCTCGGCCATCCAAGAAAGCGTATATAAACGCAAAGCCGATAATTGTCCCTCTGGTACTTGGCTCGCTACTCAAGGAATCTGTGTGTGTTGCTTACAGCTGCTTAACCATCTAGTAAAAAAAAAGTAAAGATCCCTTTTCACTCCTTCGGCGCATCGGGCATATGGGCAGAGCGTCCCATATTTTTACAGACCATCAGCACTCTGTGGGTAATGTGGTCAGCATTACGCCGGCTGTCTTTACTTTCCCAGGACAGCCCATCCTGGTACCCATTTTAGGCTGGGTCGACCTGCGACGTCCCATACCACGACAAAAATCCACGCAGCCTGCAGTTCTTGGTGAAATTCACCAATTAAAAACTTTTAAGGTCTTACAAAGGTGAATGCAATCTGCATGAAAACCGAGAGCCTCGCGTACAATGTCACTACATCCGGTATGAGAATGGAAACAGACAGGGAATCCATATCAGTGATGTCAACTGATTCATTCATTCTCACCTGAATCAAGAGTGTAGGGATTTCAACCCCCACCATAACAATTAGACTACCCTAAGTAAACTTTCCCTCTAGACAGAATGACACAAACAACACACAGCAAATAAGGGTGGGAAAGGTTGCTTCACTGGGAGATAAAATGGCAGAAGAAGAAAGAAACCATGCCAGGTTTGACATGCTAGCAATTGCAGCTTTATTAAAATTCAATACATATACCCCAGCATCACTTTGCCTGTACTGTGTTACAATGAGATTCCTCCATAACCATAGACAATGTTACCTTAGCCACCTCCCAACAATTTCTTGATATTCACAAAAGGTCGTAGGTTCAGTTCTTGAATGAGCCAGGCTTCTTTAAAAAAAAACATGACCTTGGCTCCAAGCCTTAAATGTGTACCAGTGAGGTCCTGGAAAGTAAAGGCAGCTGGCCTGATGCTGACCAGAACGCCCAACCAATTGGTCTATAAAATATAGGTCATGCCCAATATGCCTCCAGGTATGGAAAGGGGTCTTTTACTTTACTTTTAGCATTCACCGGCTGTAAACTCCAGCAGAAAGGTTCTGGTTGTCCATCCACTTCTGGATTTTGGTCTTGTACCAGAAAGTCAGTTTTGACTATACATCCCTTTTACAGATCTGCTTTATTTATACGCAAATGGATGAATTCTCACCTCTAAGGTGCACTTTGACTTTGAAGGAAACACTCTTAATTAGTTGGCTTTTGTGACATGCTTGTTAGGGAAGAAGTAGGTCTTTTATTTTGTTTCCTAGAATGGGACCCTGTAAACCTATAGGGAGCCCACAAATGGGACTTGCCAGACCACTTTCTTGATCTCTCAGAACCTACAAGTAAATAAGCTAGGGCTTGCAACATATGGCACACAATACATCACACACAGAGCATATGGCACACAATACATGACACACACAACATATGGCACACAATACATGACACACACACACAACATATGGCACACAATACATGACACACAGAACATATGGCACACAATACACGAAACACACAACATATGGCCCACAATACATCACAAACAGAGCATATGGCACACAATACATGACACACAGAACATATGGCACACAATACATGACACACAGAACATATGGCACACAATACACGAAACACACAACATATGGCCCACAATACATCACACACAGAGCATATGGCACACAATACATGACACACAGAACATATGGCACACAATACATGACACACAGAACATATGGCACACAATACATGACACACAATACATGAAACACACAGAACATATGGCACACAATACATGAAACACACAACATATGGCCCACAATACATCACAAACAGAGCATATGGCACACAATACATGACACACAGAACATATGGCACACAATACATGACACACAGAACATATGGCACACAATACACGAAACACACAACATATGGCCCACAATACATCACACACAGAGCATATGGCACACAATACATGACACACAGAACATATGGCACACAATACATGACACACAAGACACACAGAACATATGGCTCACAATACATGACACACAATACATGAAACACACAACATATGGCACACAATACATGACACACAATACATGAAACAAACAACATATGGCACACAATACATGACACACCACATATGGCACACAATACATGAAACACACAACATATGGCACACAATACAGGAAACACACAACATATGGCACACAATACATGAAACACAACATATGGAATACAATACATGAAACATACAACATATGGCATACAATACATGACACAAACATCATATGGAACACAATACATGACACATGCAACATATGGCACACAATACATGACACATGCAACATATGGCACACACAACATATGGCACACAATACATAACACACGCAACATATGGCACACAATACACGACACACAACATATGGCACACAATACATGACACACACAACATATGGCACACAATACATGACACACACAACATATGGCACACAATACACAAATCCTACACTTCCAGAAAGATTCATTAAAAAAAATACTTACAGTATAGTAGTAGTCATCCAAATACGGATTGTCAGTCTGAAGTTGAATGAGCTGTATTTTTATAATCCATTCCTTTTCCTTTTTAGTCATTAGGCCAGCATATTCATCCTCGGACTCAAGATCAGAGTCATATAGATTTGACTCCTGAAATTGTCTGTGGACAGTGACATAAATGCTCTAAATTATAGAATGTACAAGCAACTGTAGCGAGCCGTCATGGTGTTATGGCTAGACCCTTGTCTGTGACTCGGAAGGTTATGGGTTCAAATCCGGATGGTTCTGGGCTTTATAAAAAAAATGACTTGGGTTCCCATGCCGACCCAGCCTTCAAAGGGTACCAGGTAACACAGTCCTGGGAAGTAAAGATGGCTGGTGTGATGCTGACTGCATCCCCCATCAAGTGCTGATTTGTCTATAAAATACAGCCCTATATGCCCAGTTCGCCTCAAGGCATGGAAAAAGTCCTTACTTACAAGCAACTGTCCTTTTGATCAGTAACAAAACTATAAATTATCTAGAAAATGCAAATGAACTTACTGCCTGTGTGTAAGTGAAGCATGGACACAAATATTACAACTTCCCAGACAATGCAACAAATGATCTTTCCACAAAAAGTGTGATGAAAGTACCTAAGGAAAATACTATATCATTACATAATCATTTACCCGAGAATACTTGTTCTTCTTAGTTAGCGCTGACTGGCTTTAAACTCCAGCAGAAAGTTCTGGTTGTTTATTCACTTCAAGACTTCAGTCTTAATTCAGAACTTCAGTTCTGCATGTATTTCCATTTTACAGATGCGGCTTGTTTGTTTGCAGACTGCTAATTCCTTGCCTCACAGTCACACATAAAATTCAATGAAAACACCCCTAATTAGTCAACTTTCACAACATATTTGAAAGGATGGGAGGGGGGAGGGACGGCAGTGGGTATATTCTTTCTCCCCTCAAAAGGGGATCACTGAACCCACACAGGGAATCTGAGAATACAAGGTACAATTTTCTTTGCTCACCTGTGAGAATGACCCAGTTGCTGATGAACTCTCTGGTTTTCATAATCATGATGATAGTCCCCAGAACTGTGGTTTCCCTGACCTCTGTTGCCCCTCAGTTCAAACTGCTGCTGACTGCGATCCCCAAAATAACCAGGATGAGGCTGCTGGACATATGTGTGATGGGGCTGTTGCCTGTAACATTAGGGGGAAAAAAACTTCAATATGAGAAAACACCCAGAAAAGAACACCACAGTATCCATAAGGCAGAGCTATACATACCATGCTGATGTTATAAGTCCAGAGATAGGCACCTATAGTAAAACTTCTTAGACCATGCATTCCCTTTAAACAGTTGGAAGGGACAGAAAAGGTAAAATAACGTAACTTTTTCTTATCATTTTCCTGAGAACTCATGCGTTGGTTTCGGCTTCCCAGTTCTGGTGGGTGGGGGGTGTCCCAAATGCCCCCCCCCCCCCCACCAGTATGCTACAAAAGGCAACTAATTATGGATTTGCTGAAATCATTTATATAGGGCCCATAGACCCAGGTATCAGAGCTTTGCTGTAGACCTAAAGAATATACTAACCACCCCCAGAAGAATAAGGAACACATCTTTACAAACCCATTCAAAACAGGGTGAAGGATAAGAATTCGTACTAGCAATGATGTGAGAGAACATAATTCCACAGTAGTTTGAATAACTGAGCTATGCTGGATTTTGAAGATGCAGAAATCATGCGCTGGTTGGTCCACGCTTACGCTCACCATGTGGAACATCAAACTATCAGTCTTCTTCAGGATGTAATTTTTGATATCCCTGTTCATAACATGACCACAATATTTGCATCTTTCAGCCAACACATCTGACAATTTTTTTGCATTTGCTGCCCGGTTAGTCTAACAAAGATTCACTTAATTTCTAAGAAGCAGACGTCTTAAGTGATGTATGCTGAATTAGTGAAGTTCACCACTACAGCAAATGTCACAGATTTACATATTCAAGTGAAAAAGGAATGTCTAACTCACATTTGAAGTGCCGAGTACAGATGGCCTGGTGGATAGATCATGCGGGTTCTGTTGGGTGGTGACTGATGATCCAGCACTGGTAGTCCTTGTGGGGTTCTGCAAGAGTAGCAGTCACCGACTATTTTAAGCACAGAATAATAAATTTCAAAAGCCAAACGGATCATCTTTACAATGTATCCTAAATTTCACAAAATGTGTTGCTAGATTAGGCATTTTTATCTGTAACCAGGTTTCTTAACCCTGTCTCCCCAGGCATACTTTAAAAAAAAAGGGAATTGACCCTGTAATCCCCCAATTTTTGTTTAATCTGTACCTCATGGTCTATAAAGGTGTCTAGACAGGGAAATCTTTAAATTCTTTTGATCTCACTCTTAAAAAGTGGGTGGTGGCATTCTGTGCTGAGGGTTTGTTATTTGTATGTTTTAGTGACCTGTGGTCAGTTCACAAATGAATTTTTTTTAAATGTTTTAAAATCCATAAAGATATATAAAGGGAGTAACAAACAAACATGAACAGATAGAAGCATTAAATGGAATACATTCCTCGTGGCCTAGAAACAATATGAATCAGATGACTCAGGTCATGACTCCGTGACCTTTATCACTAAGGCTTACGAGGATAATTTGATGTCAACTTGGCTTTAAAAAAGCGATTTGGTTCAAAGAAAAACATCTTTAAGTTTATATTTATTTAACATAGCTTAAGCGTTGCGAAACCGACTCGTAATTCCAACGCACCGCGATTGATGCCCACCGCTGGCTGCCTGAATTTTTTGTGTGGTATCGGGTGTTGCAGGCCGACAAAGCCTAAATTGGGTACCAGGATGGCTGTCCTGGGGAAGTAAAGACAGTCGGTGTAACGCTGACCACATAACCCACCTACTACCGATGGTCTGAAAAAATATGGGCGCTCTTCCCATATGTCCGATGCGCCTAAAGGCGTGACAAGGGATCTTTACTTTACTTTTTTTTTTTTAAATCTTGCACACGACATAGGAGCTGACACTAACATCACTTATATTCAGTCGTACAAGTGGTTCCGCAGAGACATTTACTTGAGTCAAAAATGATCACCTTCTGGCTGGCACAAGAAATATGGTAGCAGCAGTTTTGGCGAGAAATTATCTGGGAGCTATGTAGCTTTTTGGAAATCAAAAGGAAATACTTAAAAAAAAAAACGGCCAATTACTGCCTTTATTATACCACTTTTGCAGTATAGGTCTGAGCCTGAGGATTTATGACCGCATGGCTAGTGCTGTCGCCACGACTGTGAAGGTGAGAATTTTATTTTGGCCTCAACAGAAAAAATCCCCAGCCTTACTGAGGATTCAAACCCATGTCTCCCTCTTGATAGCCCAGGATTGTAACCATTTGGCCAGCCGCTCCTCAAATAAAATACTACAGACAAAAATTTCAACAAAGATGTTTAGAAGAAATCAATTACTGAATGTCTGACACAACTTTAGGCCCCTTACCTAGACGCCATGACAACAGTAGGACTGCCAAAAGGACTGCTCACATTTGCAGGAAGCACATGCATTTGTCCTGCTGGTGGAGGTCGTGTCATTGCATTTCCAAAAATAGAATTTGCTAGACGAGAGGGGAAAATCATGACATTCTTTCATGAACATTTTTGAAATCACATTCAAGTTAATTATCAGATATTACAGATCAACTACAATTACATTTTTATAAAGTACTGTCAGGGCATGGCAGTGGTGCCCCTTGGATTGCCACCCTTACGCTTGGTAAACAATAATGACAGTACCGGCAGGTCATGTGTAAATATGCATTAACATCATCATTATGATGGGATAGCAGGTCTAATACTTGTATAGATGCTAATGCAGATGGGGGGAAAATCCCTGTTTACAGCAAACTCAAAGGCATACATTGGCGACATCGGTATAGTTATATTCACTAATACTGCGAATATCATAGAACTGGGATGGGAATCTGCAGGTAAGCTATATTTAACATCTGACGTCATAAAGAGTGGACTGAACTTCTTCCTGTGAATATTCCGGAAGTAAGCCTACTTCCAGTCGTTCCCTTTCAAACTAGTCATGTGTGGTCGTGTAAATATTTTCGGAGATTTTCAGCCTGCGCCATCAGGTGAAATCTCGTGGAATTTACAGTTTTTTTTTTTTAATTTGGAAAAAGGTGTCAGAATTTAGTGTACTTGTATGCTGTTGTTGAATATGTTTATTCATTGGTGCGTTTATTTGTAGTGATATTCTCGTGTATTTTCATCGATCATCTAAACATACATAAATATATCCCCCAATGAAAGCATTATCGATAACTGGATCCTTCTCATCTTCAAGAACTTAGGTCTGTGTTTAAACTTGTTAAAACAATAAGATATCTGATACTAGTGATCTTTAGGATGAATTATCCTATTTTATATATGCGAAAGCCTCATGTGCTGATACCAAGCTATATCACGTGGGCAGGCCTCAAGAAAATAAAACTCCAAGGCATATAGGAAAAGTCATGGCCTAGATTTAATTGTTACAAGCAATATCGCGTGCCCGAGTACATACAAATTCATTAAAGAAGCAACGTGACTTATGTGAAGAAAGTTTGTCAGGAAGCTGAGGGGGATGCAAGTTAGATAACTTTGAATAGTCTTAGCCAGGTGATTCAGGTGGCACACGCAAGAGGGTTTTTTTATAACCAATTTTACAAGCAAAATTTATTTTGAGACTGGAGAGGTGGTCATGGTTAGGGAAATCTGTCTAGCATAGATTCCTTTTACTGCACATTTTGCTACAAGTATACAAAATACAGCTTAAGCTGTGTCTATCGACAAAGCACAATCATATGTCAAACATCCTGAATACTGCAAATCTATATCCCAGACGGATAATGCTAGGAACAATGCCAAAATGCAAGCACTCACCCATGTACATGGCAGCTGGCCCAAAAGGAGTTATCAGTCGAGGGGATTGAGCCACTAAACCAGGAGGAGGCATCCCAGCAGGATATTTGGATGGTGATGGAGAAGGAGATGGAGAGCTGCCCGTTTTTACAGGTGACTCCTGGCCTAGGAAAAAATCCAATTCCATTTACCATTTTGTAGGGAAATATAACTTGTGTCACAGTGAATGACAATATGAACTATGCATGAAAGCCACAACCTCCTCAAACAGCAAAATCGATCACAGAGGAAAAGTACATATAAAGTTAGCGACTATAGACAGTTAATAATGGAATGAAATGATCACAGATGCTGTATTTTTTTGTGTAGACCAACACTCTCGGTGTGTTTAGCCAGTGAAGAATTTGTCTTCAGACCGTATCTGCATTAAAAAGACCACTAAAAATGCAAGTCAGTCAGGCATACGTCAACCTACCCCCCACACCACATATATTTTAACAATGCCTTTCAGTCTTATTTCAGACCAGGGGACCTCAACCCACCAGAAGTACTAGCGTCGGGAACCCATCTCTCTCAAGCTATCTGTCGCTCATTGTTCTGACCTCACTATAAAATCTGGCACATTTGATAATTAAGTTCTCTCATTTGCAGTCTATCTTAACTCTACTACTTCTCTACACTCTGTAAAAAAAAAAGAAACAAAAAGGGCTGATCACAACAACAGATTGTGACGGCCCTGGTTGTCCTGAAAAGGAGCATTGTTAGAGATGGCGGTGGTTAAACAATCTGTCTATAAGGGTTAAATGTTCATTTTAAGACTGTTCTTCTGCTTATGAGTGCACTGTTTGAGAGATCCCTAAGGGTTATTTCTAGAATTGGTGAGTGAGACTAAGTCAAAGAGGATTAAATCTGGTGCAGTGAAGTTGATCTTCTTGCCTGTAAACACATTAACCTGAACTAAACGCTGAAGTAAAAACTATACCTGGATAACTGTGCAGAGGTCTCGTATGTGGTCTAATGATGTTAATAGGTGAACTTTCCGCAATTGGAACTCTTGTGGCTAGAGGACCTTGACTAGGCTGGCCCAAAGAAAACAAAATATTCACAGGTGAAAAAAATGTAACAAGCCAGTGTGCCAAGAAAAATAACACATTTTTATTATAAATGATCTGACAGTGTAGGGACTTCCATTTTTCAGACCAGCTACACGCAGCAGTACATGCAGGGGTTCATCAACTGCTATTTTGGTCAAATATAAGTAAAGTGTTGAGTCTCGGTGCATGTACCCTGTATATGGTGACTGACTGATGTTCAACACCATTAGGACATCACGCCGAGTGATTAATACCCAGTGCCGGAAAGTGCCACCATTCGGATGAAGATAGCCTGGGGGCAGGTCCCAAAAACCCTGTTCAACCCACAGGATGTGTTATATTAGGGCCCCCAGTAACAGCTATTGCATATAGTGCTATTCCAAATTGTTATAGACCAATCAACAGTTGATGGATGATTTTAAGCTGGACTGATTTGGAATTCCTGGACAATTAAAAAAAAAAAATCCATACAGGCAAACAGACAGACAGCAAGCTAGCCACTGTACAGCCATGCTTTATGTAAGGTTTCCATTTATCTGGCTCTGGTAGAAGCATCACTTTCTGGACATCAGCAAGAGCTGTACACTGAAAAAGCTGGGTTCAACAGTCTTGTAAAGAGGTGTTGAAAGCAAACATCAGGGCTGTGATGAAAACCTGTTAAATAAATCATCATTATCCATTAGCAGATTCTTTGCAGGTCGCCTCTCTCCCACCTCATGTACTTTCATATCCAAGGAGTCATTTATATCTTCTGCCGATCTTCATGCTGGTCAGTTCCTGCCCCTCCTTCTTGGTTCCAAGCCTTCTGCTATTAATTTTTCCAATCCGACATGGCACGTGATATGGTCAAAATCTATCAGCTCATGAGACAAGATACTGTTTATTAATCAATCTTCCTTGATTTTCAGATCTTTTAGAAAGTCAGTATTTCTTTCCTTCTTCGTCTAAGATATTGTGAGAATCTTTTTATAGCATTGCAGCTCAAGAACCCCTTTTATCTTCCTTAAGGACTTGGAGATAGTCCACAACTGACATCCGTATGTTACTACAGTGAAGATGCATGCTCTCAAAAGTTTAACTTTGATATCCTTGCATGTTTAATCTTTGTATTGCTATGACCATCCTCCTTTTGACTTCCCCATTGATATTTATTATGGAGCCTAGGTATTTAAAGTTTGTGATATTTTCAGTGTCTTCGTCATTTATTGTTTTTTTTTAGGTGACAGCCAATTTTGTCTATGGGAATTATTTTTGTTTTCTTTAAATTCAAGAACAGGTGTTGACCTTCACTGTGTTTTTGGACAGACATGATTAAATGTTCTACTCCCTCAACACTGTTTATGAGGTGGACTGTGTCTTATGCACAGACACATATCAAGTGATGTTACGCTGTAATCAAAATCTTCTCCTGATAGTCCTTTGGTCATCATGCCTGCCCCTGGCCTTCTGTCTTGAGCTGAGTTAAGAACCGACATCTTAGGACTTCCCTAGACATTCACATAAGCGTTCCATCTTCATCTTCAGCAGCAAGCGCAGAGTTCCAGTTCTGATGGTAACAGTAACAGTCTGATAGTATGTCCGTCTCACTTCTCCCCTGACTGGCGTAAGCAATCATGCCTGTCCCCAATCTGCAATCTTCAAGTGTCAGTTTATGTGCTGACAACATTCCATGCAAAGACTAAAAACTGTCAAAAATCTTCTTGTGTTGTCTTCCTTTATATCTCTTTCAATAAATCTTTCCAGTCGTCACAACATGTTGGGGGGAATGGGTCTATTCTTTTGTTCCCCAACCTCAGGGGGGGAACTAACCCCACATGGAAGAGACTAGGACTAAAACTAGTTATACAATTCCTTTGGACAGGAATTCAAAATGGTGACATAAAGAAAAGTTAGTTATCATTCTGAGGATAATAAATGTGTGTTATCGTGTGTCTTTAAACTCCAGTGTGTTCAACTAAGGATGATCCTGCAACAGGTCTTGCAAGCCGCTAGCAAATTTATTTGTCCATGTGAAATTGCTAAAAAAAAAGTCTGGAGGAATTTTAAGAAAAAGGTTACACCTTGTACTATATTCACAGAGAAACAGAAGATTAGGTGGTTAGGCCATCTTGTTAGAATGCAGCTAACAAGCACTAAATTTCAGAAGATCAGCTAAAACAAGAGGAAGCTGACAGCAGCGAAAAATATGGATCGACAACATAAAAGACATGCCTTCAGGGCATAGCAATAGCCAGTAGCTCCAGCGTGCACTGGATTGTAAATTATTCCTTCCCATGACACTTAACAGCACAAGTGGTGGTTTATGATGATGATACAATTCATTAATGAACAACAGACTAAATGGTAAGGCTACCAGATATTACTGCCATGGCATCAGGTACCCATAAGAGTCATGATAAAGAAATATAATGAGCGCAGAGAGCAAGAGGAAGGCCATGCAAAGGTCAAAGCAATGCATCAAGAACAATCTCTGAGACATGAAAATCAACTTACAAAGTACTATCCCAAATACAGCATATAAAGGCAAAACTTTTGGCCAAGAGAAACACTGGTGCAAGCCAAACTTTACAGGTCGTTGAGTGAATTACAAAAGACAGTGAAGTTCATACTACAGGCAACATTGCAGATATAGATAATCTATTTCAAGCGAGCGCAGGAAAAAGGAAGGAACTTACAAAGTGCACTGCAAAAAAAAAAAAAAAAAACACTGAAAGGTGTTTAAAAAAGAGAATCCCCGTGTGGGTTCTGGGGCTACATTGTGGGGGAAAAGAATAGACCAACTACCCCCTAATAAGCATGTTGTAAAAGCTGAATAATTAGGAGTGTTTCCTTCTAGGTCAGAGTGCATCTGCCTGCGAGGCAAGGAACCAACAGTCTGCACACAAATAAGTAAAAGAAAATGCCAAACACATGTGCATGCGAAACTCAAGTTCTGGAACTAGATGAACAACCAAAACTTTCCACCAGTTTACAGCCAATGAACTCAAAGAAGAGTAGGATGAGAAAACTAGGAGGAGAAGACAGTCAAGCAATCAATAATGGCAACACCAGTAATCCCTAAAAGAAGTGTAATGCAAACCTGTTTCCTGAAAGCAACAGCAGTACCAACTGGTGGAATATGTGCTGGCCCAGAGAAGTAAGGCTTGGGCTCTTGAGGTAGCGGAGGTTCCCCTCTCAGTTGTCGCTCCAATTCTTCAGCTGTAAGAACACGAGGCTTCTGGTTCTCTCGGGCCATCATGTTGTGCTCAATTTCTGCTAAGGTAGGTACTTCAGAAGGCAAAGGCATGTGTGGTGGTTGAACTGATTTGGATGCAGTATCTTGAAAGGCCTGTTGAGTACACATCAGAAATCCTGGTTAATGATGTGAATCTATGTTTAAATACATGAACTTTGGCATCTTCTGAGCCTTTTTGGCCCCAGCATGAGAAAAAAACTGGAATATGTAAAGACAAGGGAACAGATTTATGGTAAAAAAGAGAAGACAATGTGAGAAAATTCTTGACAACCTAACGCCATGGCTTGGAAAGGTGTCAGCACATAAACATTGACATGATGGAGAGATCAGCAGATGGAACTCTGCTCCAATCCGCATGGTCTCCATGGCAAAGTCGAATACCTTGTACTCTGAAGGTCATAGGTTCGTTTTAAAGCTGCACTGTTCAGGAAAAAGGAGTGCAATTTTTAATACACTCATGAGGATCATTGCGGGAGCATGTGTTCATGTTTTGTGCGGCACACTTGGCAGGCGGCTAGGAGACAGATTGAGCCATTTGTTTGGGGAATGCCCTGAGTGCTGTGATGTCAATTCTTGACTCAACACACTGAGCCATTTGTTTGGTGAATGCCCCGAGTGCTGTGATGTCAATTCTTGGCTCAACTCAACACACTGAGCCATTTGTTTGGGGAATGCCCTGAGTGCTGTGATGTCAATTCTTGACTCAACACACTGAGCCATTTGTTTGCGGAATGCCCCGAGTGCTGTGATGTCAATTCTTGACTCAACACACTAAGCCATTTGTTTGCGGAATGCCCCGAGTGCTGTGATGTCAATTCTTGACTCAACTCAACATACTGAGCCATTCTGCAGAGACAGACTGAGCCATTTGTTTGCAGAATGCCCCGAGTGCTGTGATGTCAATTCTTGGCTTAACTCAACACACTGAGCCATTCTGCAGAGACAGATTGAGCCATTTGTTTGGGGATTGCCCCAAAGGCTTTGATGTCAATTCTTGACTTAACTCAACACACTGAGCCATTCTGCAGAGACAGACTGAGCCATTTGTTTGGGGAATGCCCAGAGTGCTGTGATGTCAATTCTTGACTCAACACACTGAGCCATTTGGGATAAAACCCAGCGCAGTAAAATCAATCCTCTCGACTTTAACGTGATGCAGAAAAGCGTGATTATTTATGGCAATCAGCAAAACACTTAAGATGATAATGACCAAATTTACATCATCAGGAATCATTAAAATAGTCTTTACCGAGGTAATGTTTTAAACAAAACAACTCACATCAAAACCTATAACACCAGACAGATGCTTGTTCCTTCTTCTTAGCATTCACCAACTGTAAACTTCAGCAGAAAGTTCTGGTTGTTTGTCCACTTGTGGACTTTGGTCTTGTTGCTAAACTTTAGCATTGCACGCACATCCATTTTACAGAGGTGGCTTGTTTATATGCAGACAGTTGATTCCTCACCTCTGAGGCAGATGCACTACTTTAAAATCAAAACCCCTAATTACCTTACATTTACTACACACTAGTTTAATAGGGAGAAGTGAAATTCTTTCCAGCCCCAACCAACAATTAGGTACCAGAACCATCACAGCAACTAGACAAACATGATGCATCAAAAGAGACCATTCACATTTCATTTGGATTTATTCAGTTGTTGTGCTTCATAGCTGGCAGAAGAACAGATGGGATTTAGGAGAAATAGAAGCTGCACAGGTGCAATCTTCACACTTAAACAGTTAATAGAAAAGAACATTGAATACAATAAGAACTTATTTGTGGCATTCGTAGACCAGGAGAAGGCATTTGACAGAGTCGACAGACAATTATTATGGAAAATAATGGCAAGATATGGAGTAAGAGAACACCTCATCGAAGTGTGCAAAAGTTTATACAGGGATTGTAGATGTGTAGTTAGAATAAATCAGGGAAGATCTCATCCTTTCACAGTGACATCTGGAGTAAGACAGGGGTGTGTCTTATCACCACTGCTGTGTATCACCTACATCGACAGTATATGCAAGAATGCCAAGCCCATTAATGAAGATCTTAGTAAGATCAACAAATTACTCTTTGCAGATGACCAGGCCTTGATAGCAGATACAGCCATGAAATTGCAACAACATCTAACATCCATGAATGAAGAATGTAAAACAAATAATATGAGAATCAACACTGAAAAGACAGAAGTAATGTCAATAGGAAAAAAGAAGACAGATCTAAACATAGCAATAGAATACAAAGGCATTAAACAGGCATCTGAGTTTAAATATCTGGGAACTACATTTACTGAAGATGGGAAATTGGATAAAGAAATTGACATTAGATGCAGTAAAGCAAACCAAGTATTGGGACAGCTAGCCCCCCTCTTACAGCATAAGACAATCCCAATCAGCACAAAGAGACATCTTATTCAAAGCATATTTATTCCAACTCTGTGCTACCAGTGCCAGACATGGTCACTCACAACAAACCATAAAAGAAAATTAGTAACCACGGAAATGAGATGTCTGAGAAGGGCTGTAGGAGTGACCATAAGAGATAAGATCAGGAATGAGATCATAAGAGAACAAGTCGGCACAGAACCAATTCTGGATTACATACAAAGACAGCAAGTGAAATGGTTTGCCTACTTAGAGAGAATGCCTTGTGACACCATACCATACAAAGCATACATGGAAAGAGAAGAAGGACGTAGAGCACAGGGTAGACCAAGAACAAGATGGAAGGATAACATTAGAGAAACTCTACAACAGCACGATGTGCCTATGGTCGAGGCAGCCAGAAGAGATGGAAACAGAACCTTATATCTCCCTCGACACCCACAGCGGTAAAAGAGGAAGTGAAGAAGAAGAAGAAGTTGTGCTTCATTTTATGTTGATGTAACTCTGTAGTAACGCAACTAATGAGATACAGCGAATTATGCTTGGCAATAAATTGTATGATGTAACGTTTATGTCCGTATTATTTAAATTTGTTACAGGGAAACATTGTTTTGAATATGTACATTTGCTGATATTAGAAAGAAAAGAAAGCTGTTAAAAAACATGCACAGTAATAACATACCCCTGGAAAATCCCTGAAGGCTGCTTGCTTAGCCGAGGCAAAGAGGATTTGCAATGTGTTATTCACTGGCTTCTGAAACGTGCCATCCCCAGATGGGGACCCCCAGATGTTTTTGTTTGGGGATGTCTGCAGAAAATAAATATCACATCCAGAATTATTAAGCAACAACAAAACAGAAAGAAGGAAAAAAAAAAGATTGTGAATATCGTCTTCTTTGTGTTCACCGGCTGTTAACTCCATCGAAAAGTCCAGGATTCACATAAGTCTTGTTTCAGAACTTGAGTGTTGGGTGCACACCCATGTTAACACTTTGATTATTTTATGAAAGCTGTTGGCTCCTTGCCCTACAGGCAAATGCACCCCTACTACGAAGGAAGTTCCCCCATCAGTCGTCTCTTACGACATGTCTGTTAGGGATGCTGTGGGTCTATTAATGTTTCTCCCCATAATGGGGTCTCTAGGAACCACATGAGGAGATTCCCAGCATAAAAGTGATATTTTAATATGCAACTAATTTTCAACTCTCTCTGGAAACTTAAAGACAACTGACTGACATACATATTCATACTAATTTTTTTATTGCCAATGTCAGACTAGGTAACTAAATATGATGGAAACTGGTACTCTGTCAGCAGCTGAAGATCAGGATGGAGCACTTATGGTAATGTCCCAAGTGTTGTGATGTCCGTGCTTAACTCAACTACTTAAGGCCCAAGAGAAAATCATATGTGAGATAAGATGCAATTAGAAGAGCTAATAATGAAACCACAGAAGGGAGATCAGATGATGGCATCAGAGAAATAGTAGAAGCAATACAATGCACTGATTAAATAGAAAGACAGAATAAGGTGGTTTGGCACATTCAAACCTGTCACCAAGAAAGCTGTTTCTCTGCCATTTACGGGGCTTCTGATGATATGAATTTCTTGATTAACTTGTTCCCTTCAAAACTGTTTTGCTCACAATGGTGAATAAATAGACATTAATTATTTTAGTGAACTGACACCTGCATGGCTCCCAATGGCCATCATGCTTGCCTGTGTGCTTAGTGGTCACCACTTGGAGGCTGAGTGGTCTCGAGACATGGTGTCTGCCTCGAGTGCTGGGGGTCCCTGGGTAGTAAAGATCGGACACCAGTGTGTATTTTTGCACACCTAAAAATCCCTTGGCAGTTGGAAATCGGTGTTGCCCGGGCAAAATTTGAAGTTAAAAAGCTACCCAAAGTATTTCAATATCCCCGCCTGTGCTACAGAGTTCGTGCACTGCGCTGAGATTTTTCAGACTCAGGCTTCAGTTATAAGTAGAACGGAGCACTTATGGGTTACAGCCATGTGCCATGATGTTGATCCTTCGAATAAACAAACATTAGTGGTCAAAGGTTTTGTACCTCTGGATTGTTTATTTTTTAAAAAAAAACTGTCAAGATTCCAACTTTATGCTTCTTCTTCTTTCTTTAGTTTTTTTCTTAGAGTAGAATTATAAGGATGTGTTTTTTCTTGATGGGAATTTTAAGAAAATCATTTTTTTTAAAGGTTTTTACATGGTGAAAGGGTTAATAAGCATGGAAAATCCTATTTGTGTACCTACCAGCATAGAAAATTTGGGACACCCTTCTCCAAATTACAAGTTTTACTGGGTCAAAAGCGGGACATGAAGTTAGATGAGTGGACAGAGAAGACTAACTTTTAAAAGAGTAAATGTATCTATTAATAAGTAATTTACTTTTATTATGCATTTGTTTCACAATTCTACGCAAATGTTCAGTTAGTGAATTAGTCACAACAAATAAAACATAACCACATTTTAAAACAACTTCATGCACACACCAGGCTTTCCAAATCCAAAAAGGCGGGAGGTGAATTTGGTCCAAATAGCTCATCCAAATGAGACGTACGAAGAGCCTGAAATCAATTACACAAAGAAAGCGATTAGATACTTCCTCAAGAATGTTAAACGATTATGTTAACAGTTATTTATGTTTATGTTTTGCAACATAAATTTATTTTGAATCCGCATTGCAGTCAGCAACAGACAAACTTCTGCAGGACAAAAGCTTACAATGCTAACTTTATGGATGCAGCACCAATCATAACATATAGTTAACACCCTAGTTCACTTCAATTCAGATTATTATTACTGCACCCTGTATGTGCCCACAGATTACTGGTTGTAAACTCAGGCAGAAAATTCTGGCTGTTCGTTCACCTATGGGCTTTAGTCTTATTGTTCCAGACCTTGAGTGTTGCATGCAGACTGTTGGTTCCTTGCCTCTCTGGCAAGTGCACTTGACTTCGAAGGAAGCCCCCAATTAGTCAACTCCTATGACATGCTTGTTGGGAGGTAGTGGGTCTATTCTTGTTTTCCACCCTGGGGGGTATTTAATATAATTAGATGTTCCTAGTGTGTCTGACAGTATCATTTCTTACTTGAAATTCTGGCACCGGTAGCATAGTGTTGGTATGACTATGCTAGTATAATCTTTTAGTTGGCAGAAATAGTTGTGTTCGGTATATCAATATGCTCATGCATGTCCTTAAGGCACTGAAACTGACTGCAACACTGACTGTTATTTGGGGCACAGAACATTCCCCGAAAGCCAGCAATTATCAGCTTCAGTTAGCAAGCAGCAACGTAGCCATGCTGACGTCCTAATAGAAATAACAGCCAACACCTAACACTATTATCCATTTAAAAGTGCAAACAACTGATAGATGAAAGTATAACACAGGGCTAGTCAATTAAGTTTACTCAGGGGCCAAAATGTTGGAAATGGGGAAATGTCAAGCCAGAGGTCTGAGTCTCAGCATAGAAAGATCAACAATACAACTGGTACTGATCCAAGGGCCACTTGTTAGGCCTCTGCGGGCCGGATATGGCCAGCGAACAGGCAGCTGAACAGTTCTGGTTAAAAGAAATAATCTGGTTTGTTCCCCCCCATTACATGCAGATGACAAAAAGGAACATTGAGAAAATCTCGGTACGGTGCACAACCTTTCCAGACAACAGATTTACAAACATTGTTAGTTGACAGAATGAAGCAATGAACATTAAAAAATGCAATGCAGAAACAAAGTCATTCTAAAAGTGAAGAAAAACCCCAAAAACAGAATCATGTTCCAATTTACCCCTGGTATAGGCTGTCCATTGACATCGAAAGCTGAACCATCTCCGTCATCAACCATCAGACGACTGATAGACTGCTCCAATTCATCCTGTAATGATTAGTCAGTCATAAAATGTTACAGCCACTGGCATTCAATTTTTCTAACACATCAGTCCACAATACTTCTAGCCTCATGACTGTCTATACACTTATATACAAAATAAAGCATTAAGTAGCAGGAAATTAACAAGACCATTATTAATGGATAAAGCAGCTAATAAACAAGTACCATTGCATTATTTCACACTTCTAATAACAATCAATCAGGAACCATCTCTACAATAAAGATTCATACGATGAATCTCCTAAAACTCTTTTCACTCTCACCAGTTCTACACTCTAACAGATGTCCATCTCTTGATGTTATCCTCGACTGTATATTGTTTTGCTTTTTCTTCCAGTATGGTTTTTAGAGGCTGAAGGGAAAAGATGCAGAGGGAGACAGAGAGAGAAAATGCTGGACAGTTTGACATTTTGGTATAAAAGATGTGTATCAGAGTCGACTAAGAGTACAAGAGATAGAAGGCTGTGGATAGACATGACTACCAATGCCTCACAGCATGGACTATAAGAAGAAGATGATTTTTATAAGTGTTACATCTTTTAATGTGGCTGAAATATTTTACTAACACATTCATATTACATATCATAATATGCCAAGCCAAGCAACTTAAACAGTCATTTTTCTCCACTAACACCTGTCTTTTACTAATTTTCTGTTTTCGATGACACTTCAATTACTTATCTCTGTATTTTGCACACTCAGTCTTTCTAGCTGCCACAACTGTCTTCAGATTTTTGATTCATATGACTAAAATATGACAACTGCTTTGGCCTGATCCAGGAAAAATTTTTATATTTGTCAATTGTACCTGCTGTTCTTGGGTATTGGCCTTATTGCAATCTAAAACAGCATCCCTGTAGCCCCTAAAAAATTTTCTTACGCTCTTTATCCATGATTCACATACATACCAGTATTGGCAGCATTTAACACTTTATAACATTAATTCTTTTCCATTATCAATATTCTACATTTTGTGCACAAAACTACATCTGCACTACTCCAATTTCAAATCCACTGTCTTCAATTTCATATGTCACTGTCCAACATTTGCATTCAGGCAGAAGTTCAAGTCACATAAAACTGCCATGAATATGTTGTTCGTCCATCACGGGTGATGAAGACCACTTTTCATCCACAGTTGCAATGATCAATGATTATGAGTATGAAGGTGGCTGATTAGTCCAATATAAGCCCAGAAAGTTCTTGAGCAGTGCGGACAACAGAAGGAAGCCGCAGTAAGTGTGGGATTAGCGATACGGTTCTTTCTAGTCTGCCTCCATAACCTCCGCTGCCTGGCAAGCTGATGCACCATCTAGAACGTACACCATCTAGAACGTACACCATAAAGAACGTACGCCATCCTGTGCAGCAGCCTCCCACATTACTGTTTTGGTGCCAAAAGAACTGAGAGCAGTTTTGAGAGTGTTCCTATAACGCATTTTCTGTCCTCTCTGGGACTTTTTTTCCTCGCTGGAGCTCGCCATAAAATACCCCTTGGCAGGTGAAAATCTGGCATGCGAGCTATGTGACCAGCCCAACGCAGCTGATAATTCTTCAGTACTGTGTGGATGCTAGGCAGGTTTGCAGCTTTCTGAGACAAGTTATATGAAACTGATTCAACTTTTTAGCATGGCACTGATATACAGTCCATGTTTCTCAAGCATAGAGCTGTACTGGAAGAATTACAGCTCTGGTTGTGAATATAAAGAACAGATAAAATCTTTTGGCACAAAGACCACACAAAAAACAAATTTAGTTAAACCACCTTTCCACAATTTCAATGTAAAAAAAAAGTGCTAAAACTGACTTATTTTAGTAAAGGAATTATCAGAAATTACAGACGACATTTAATATGTTTTACATACATCCTGTGTGACGGTTGAGTACCCTCGCTCCATAGTGACAAATCCAGAGTCCTTGGTTTTATTTTTCTCAAGAGGTGTGTCCAGACAACTGCCCTCCAGCTCTTCAGCCATGCGGGAGTGCTCATCTTCCCAATCATACTCAGCTGCAACAAAATAAGCCCGAATAAGACAGACCAAGACAAGGAATTGATTGTGACAACAAATTGTATAACTTGTGTAAATACCTGCAGAAACAGTCCCTGAACGCATGCTGCTATGGGGATGTAAAGTGTAAAGCAAATACAACGGAAACAGGGGAATTTCAATAATAATGGTAAAAGCTGAAAATAACAGATGACCTACAAATGACAGCCAGAATAACATGTGACTACTAATAATTGTTTGGGAGGAGTTATTGTGACAGGCATGCATTTTCAAGTTGTTTTTTTATTGTTATATTTTTTTTAGTATAGAAGACATCCCTGTGTAGGTCACCCGGGCTCCATTCTGAAGAATGAAGAACAGAACTGCTCTCCCCCACCCCAAGTATATCTAAGAGAGGATATTATAGTGCATCTGCATGAGAGGTAAGGAACCAGCAGTTTGGATACAAACAAGTCAGGCCCGTAAAACTGATGTGCACCCCTCTCCCTTACAAGTATATCCTAAGAGGTGACTAAATAGGGGTGTTTCCTTAAATGTCACAGTGAATCTGCCTGAGGCAAGAAACCTGCAGTCGGCCTACAAACAAGCCAGAACTGTAAAAACAGATGTGTATGCAAAACTCAAGTTCTGGTTCAAGACCAAAGTCCAGAAGTGGACAAATAACCAGATGTTTCCGCCAGAGTTTACAGCCGGTAAACGCTAAGAAGAACTAACACCTTAGATGCATATTTGTTTAAGGTGTCAACATTTTTTTGGTACTTTTCTATGGTTTCTCCATATATTTTTTTCTGTTTAGTAGTTTTAAGTATGCCTGTGTTACTGAGGTTCCCAAATAGTAACTCTGCATGCTACAGGGCTTATCACAAAAGGCAACTAAGTGAGAGGTGAGCTTGGGTTTGGTTACCTCATCTTGTAAAATAACGCAGCTCTCCAAAAGAAAACAACAAACAACTAAAAAAATGTCAGCTGCCTTCTTATTGGTAAGATAAGTAGACTGTAAGATATCTTCTTCTTCTTCTTCGCGTTCACTAGCTGTAAACTCTGGCGAAAGGTTCTGGTTGCTCGTCCACTATTGAACTGCAGTCCTGCTCCAGAACATGAGTGTTGCGTGTGCATCAGTTTTACAGATCTCATACTCTTGAATACAGACTGTTGGTTCCTTGCCTCTCCAGCAGATGCACTCCGACTTCAAAGGAAGCTCCCCAATTAGTCGACTCTTACGACATGCTTTTGGGAAGGCAGTGGGTCTATTCCCAATCAGCACAAAGAGGCATCTTATTCAAAGAATATTTATTCCAACTCTGTGCTATCAGTGCCAGACATGGTCACTCACAACAAACCATAAAAGAAAATTAGTAACCACGGAAATGAGATGTCTGAGAAGGGCTGTAGGAGTGACCATAAGAGATAAGATCAGGAATGAGATCATAAGAGAACAAGTCGGCACAGAACCAATTCTGGATTACATACAAAGACAGCAAGTGAAATGGTTTTCCCACTTGGAGAGAATGCCTTGTGACACCATACCATACAAAGCATACATGGAAAGAGAAGGACGTAGAGCACGGGGTAGACCAAGAACAAGATGGAAGGATAACATCAGAGAAACTCTACAACAGCACGATGTGCCTATGGTCGAGGCAGCCAGAAGAGCTAGAAACAGAACCTTATATCTCCCTCGACACCCACAGCGGTAAAAGAGGAAGTGAAGAAGAAGAAGAAGAAGTGGGTGTATTCTTGTTTTCCCACAATGGGGCCCCGGAACCCACACGGGGGACTGTAAGATATGTCAACTTTGTCTCAAAATCAATGCAAAGTGACCTGCTACCAAATTGCCTGCGCTAACTTCAAGGTATGTCAGGATTTACAGTCCTAAGCTACAGCTGCCGATGAGTTTACATCAGTGTTGGCAAGCAGATCATCGCTCGCAAGTCAAAACTAGCCATCCGAGCAATTTACTGACCTGCGAGGCTGATGTAAAATTACTATATAATCTCCCACTTTCCCTTAAAAATTTCTATAGGAATAAACTCACAGGAAGCAAGTACAGCAGGGATCTACCAGTCATCAGTAGAAATTATCCTCGTCGACAAATGTTTCGGCCCACGATTCCTAGACACTTTCGGAGGTGGGCCCACCTGAGTTCATGAAGTTCAGGGCTGGTACCCTGCTGCACGAGATTACAGGATGGTGTTTTCTTTCGGATAGGGACAAGACAACTTGGTGGTTTCACAGAAGGTACTGTGAGATAAGAAGTCGTTGCGGCAGCCTAATTAGAACAGTCAGCATGCCTGGACGACCGAGCGACAAGCTTACGTTTGGTTTACCGGACACATGTTGGACTTTCGTTAGCAGGTGGCAGAGGAACACTGGCAGAAAATTCGGACACGATGGACTTTCAAAGGGTGAGAAACCCTTTTCCACTAGAAACCCGGACCAGCTCACTGAGTCCCGTCCCCTACGTTGTTGTGTTGCGTCCAAAGCCAGCTCGAGGCCCTTTCGGCTGCCTCGCCCAGTTTTTTAAGTGTTCGTTTCCGTTCATTACCGCGCAATCCTAGTTCTTTAACCACATTGTACAATGAAGTGGAGACGAGACCTCGCGCTCCCACTTCGACGGCAAAGACCCGTACCGTGTAAGCCTCGTTTCTCCTCAGACCGGCTGCTAAATCACTGTATTGCTCGAGCTTATACATGTGATTCTCTTCCATACGCGACTCATACGGGACAGTCAGCTCAATCAGGATGAGCTGCCGTTTTTGCGCAGAGTGGAGAACTATGTCAGGTCGCAGGCCGGTCTTCCGGATTAACTCGGGGTACCTTTCATGGCCCGGCAGATCAACCGCCAGTAACCAGTCCCTCGCAGAGTCTAGCACAGATGGAGCGAATGCGTTTCGGTTGACCTTACCTTTTGGAACCTGCCCAGCCTTGAGGAAACGAATGGGGACGATGGTAGAACTGGCTCTGGCGTTGGCCCTCATTCTAGCCTGGTCAACAACGGCTGCTATCTCTTTTAGCACCAAACTGAACGGACACATTTAGGAATATACAGAAGGTTTCAGTGGGTGAGTGTGTCTGGCCACAGGCACAGCAAAGGATTATAATTTCAGATTACCTCACAAAAATATTGCTGCTGAAAAATCTGGGTGGTACTGGATTTTTTTCTGTATGGCCCGCGACCAGGTTGGTAATCTCAACTTAATAAACCTAACTCAGGGACCAAAAAATGTTGCCCACCTCTTGTTTACACAGATATGCGCTAATTGTAAAGAAAACATTACCATCTCCCAGATCACCAAATGTTTCCTCATTTAGGACGTCAAAGTCCTCCTCTACTTCTGGTGCCTGTATTAGCTGATTTTCATCATCATCAAGTTTTCCTGCCCCAAGAGCCTGCAGTGAGGACAAAGAAAAGTTAAATTTGGTAACAATTCTTATTTCTACAAGGTCCATGTAAACACCATTACTTTTATGTTTGTTATTTCTTCTTCTTCTTTGTTCACCGGCTGTAAGTTCTGACAGAAAGTCCTGGTTGTTCATCCTTTTGGACTCTGGCTTTGTGCCAGAGTTTTGAGATTTGCATGTACATCCATTTTACTGGCTTTTTGAATGCAGCTGGTTGTTCCTTACCACTCTGGCGGATTCATGCCGACTTTGTAGGAAGCTTTCAAATAAGTGACTCTTACGACATGCGTGTTGGGGAGGAAGTGGGTCTATTCTTGTCCCCCCCCCCCCCCCCCCACAATGGGGCCCAAGAACCCACATGGAGTTTTTTTTTTTACTTCGTTCTCTGAATAACAATCAATATCAGTTTAGTATGACACCTTTTTTTTCTTATGACCCATGCCGTGGTTTTAGTAGTCATGTCTATCCACAACCTTCTGTCTCGTGTACTTTCAATAATCTCTGATACAGATGATTCTCCATGCCATGATGTCAAACAGCAACTTTTCTCACAAACTCCTGCCTCTCCTCCCCTCCAACTTTCCTACTGTCATGATGTACTCCAGTTCTCTGCTCCTTATCACATGATGAAAGAATGTAGATTGTCTCTTTCTGATGTGGGCAATCAGTTCTCTTTGTGAGTCAGTTTTTTTTTCCAAGATATCCTCGTTACTCATTTTATCTGTCTAGGGATTCTCATCATTCATCTATATAACCACATCTCTGCAGCATCCAAATAAGTTTTCACACTTCCTTTAATGATTTTAAAAAAAAAATACAATCAGATACCGTCTACACAATGAAAACTTACTGCAGTGAATATCTAATGCTTCGCCCATGTATGCTCTCTCAGATTGCTGTTTGTTTATCTTATTGATGATATTCTTCCACTTGGTATCACTCGTATGGTTTTTATAAGTGTTATACCTTTTAAAGTTGCTGAAAATATTTCACTTATCTCTCATTCATTTCCACAAATTCTCAACTTTCCAAGACCTCTGACATTTTATTTCCATGAAATCCACATATTTGCTTGACCGTTACAATTACTGATTTACTTTCAAGTACTTGCTATAGATGTACAGATCTATACTCAAAGATTTATGGTTGCGCACACCGGAGCACCCGTAGAGATGTAAGTAATGCAATAATGATATACACCCAGCTATAGACTAGTATTCTCATTCAGCCAATGAATATCTAATGATTATGAACTATTATTTCTATTAGCTAAATCTTTCTTTTAATTATCTATATATATAAAAATCAATGTTTGTGTGTTTGTTTGCCCCTTATAGACTCGGAAACTACTGAACCGATTTAACTGAAATTTTCAGGATATGTTTGTTTTGATACCGGATGTTGAACCGTCATGGTTTGAAATTCAACCTGTCACTGTTAGAGATAGGTGACCACAATTTAAGCCATAATATTCGAAACTAATATTTATAATTTTAGTGATTTCTAATTATAGCCACATTAGTAATTGCGCATGCGCCGTGCAGCCAACACCTCCTCTAATACATAGAGTAGGTCGTGGTACAGCAAACAAGACTATATCTATATCTGTGCAGGCAATGATTGCCACAATAACTATATTAGACACGATTTCTATTTTCTGTTTTTTTTTCAAACATCCTTCGATGAGTTGAAAAGTAGCCGATGGATTGGTAAGGAAAAAGAGGGAGGGGGGCATCAGGGACTATCTCGACGTCTGCGCAGACATTGACTGCGACATTAACGGTGTTAGACACGTGTGATTTCTTTTGTTGTGCCGTTTCATTAATATATTTGGAATATCTGTCTTTGAGAAAACAATTGCCTGCTGTTTTGAGTTGTTATAATCAGGACACTGCAGTAAGGACACACATCTAAAATAGTTATGTTCTCTTTTCGTTTTTCCGATCGTGTGGTTGCTTGGTCGAATGGTTAGAACACTCGGCCTTTGAGAGGGAGACCAGGGTTCGAATCCGCAGTAGTTTTTTTTTTTTTTTTTAATTTAGGGCTAAAATAAAATCCTCACCTGCACTGTCGTGGCGACAGCACTAGCCATATGGCCCTTAATGGTATATATTTAATACAAAAAAAAAAAACAAGGACAGGTTTGTGGGTAAACCAGTTGATAATTAAATTTGACGATTCACATACTTATGATTTCATTTTAAACTTTTCGATTACATGGTTACGCTGAAATTTCATAGCTTTCCATTCATTTTCATTTAGATTTAATTATTTCATCTGCGTTGGAATTTTAAGCTGTGCTGTTTACCATAGCGTTCATTTCCTAATTCTGGTGTATTTTTCCTGTTTTAATTGCTTTTCAATTGGTTTTTTCCCCTCTCAACTACTTTGATGAGGGAAAGAGTAGTCGGTGAAATTGAATTGGGGGGGGGGGGGGGGGGGCCAAACTGATTACTGAGAGAACTTTAAGTCACAGTAACTGCTTTACCCACTCAAAGTAGCAGCAGTAGTAGTTGTGGTTGGGCGGTTACACCGTAGTGCTCTCATGTGAAGACCGCCGGTAAGGTTATGGCATTCTTCTACGGGCAGCGAAATCATACATCCTTACCTGACCAGTCCGTGGCGACAGCACTAGCCATGCGGCGCCAAATCTTCTGGCTCACGACTCCCTGTCTACTCCAATGGTAAAACAGATAGCAGTGACATTATTTTAGCTACTGTGGTGGTGGTCGTGGTAGTAGTTGTACTGGTACTTGAAGGATGATGCGGTAAATATTACATTAGCCCCATTCACTACCTATTACAATTCCTGCTCCCAATTTAGTCCGGATGGACAGGGATGTCAATGTCAGTTACAACAAAAAGAATATCGCCAGGTGATGATTTTTCAATCCTTCGAAGAGGGAGAGAGCAGTAGTCGGTGGAAGAGGGGAGGGGAGAGGGTAATGACTGAAATTTAAGAGAACTTGAAGAGCTTTACACATGATTTTTAAGTTCTCATTACTTACTTAAATTGTTTATATTTTACTAACGCTACCTTCACTATTCTATTTTTTTTTTGTACGACTTACTTCGTTATTTACAAGTACAGTAGTAGCTTTTCTTACGTCTCCTATAAAAATATAAACAGCTTTAGCATGTGATAACCAAATAACCACTTTTGTTACTGTGCTAATAGCACCATTTAAACGACCACTAATATAAAGACACAATTATATGGTGCGTGTTCTAAAGTTGGAAAACCAGACTATCTCTATATACATGTGCAGAGAATGATTGCGACATTAACTATATTAGACAGGTGCGATTTCCATTGTCTTTCTTTTCCAAAAACCTTTGATGGGGAGAGGGTAGTAGGTGGATTTAGTTGTGGGGGGGGGGGGGGGGGGGTCAAAGACTATCTCTATATCTGAGCAGACAATGATTGTATTAGACACGTGCGATTTATATTTTCTTTCATTTCCATTTAGCCAAACTATGCCACAGCAACGCGTGGCCGGGTACAGCTAGTTCTATATAAATTTCAAAGATGCTTTATTTCAAACACTAAGTCATACTCTGTTTCTATCTATCCATTTAGTTTTGTCTATTACTTTTATCTTTAAAGACAATGAACACCTTGTGAAGTTAATTACTGTAGACATTTCAGGGACAGCACACACTTCCATAGATACTGCACAAGGTTATAACTCTTTAGCCTGCTTATATGTTGCACAACTTACTTCCAGAATGCAGCTAGATAGGTTTCTGATAGAAAACACTGCACTGGACACACCAGTAACTGACAATCCCAGACAGTACGCAACATTTGGTTGCTATAAATTCTCAGGCCCAAGACTTAGATCCCAAGTCTGAGAATATTTTTCTTCACTTCCTCTATTACCACTTCAGGTGACGAGCGAGATGTAGCGTTATAATGAGTTATGAGTTGGATTATCTGTACAGCACTTCTGACACATCCATAGGTGCTCAGATTCCCCTCTCAAGATATTCATCAGCGTCGCAGGGTTAATAGTGCCAGTTCTATGCTGGTTGGCAAGACTTTGCATGCGTCCGCTGTGCTTCTCATGCTTGGCGGTGCATTATAATTCTCACAGCTTTGCCTAAAGACACATAATACTTTTGTAAAGTTTTGCTGATGCTATCTTTATACCTTGCTTTTGATGTACCTTAGGTTATAGATGACCTATGTTCTTTAAACCTATTTTAACCTGGGGTACAATGTTTCAGTGTAGGGTTAAACAATATTGTTTTATTGACCTCATATGCCTCATACTTCTTTTACTCATTAAAAAATGTATACAAAATAATGAGCACCTCCAATGAGAACAAACATATTGTTTGGTAATTATTTGTTGGCAAACTCTTAGAATACTGTCTTGGAATTTTTAACCCCCCCCCCCCCCCCCAAACCCAGTGAATTACCTAAACCACAATTATTAAAATGCAGAAAGAAAATTCTTCAATATGTAACAAACGTAATTTAAAAGAAAAAACTGTTAGTCTATAAGGTGTGTAGATCAATCCACACTCTATGAGTCATGTGATCAATGTCAGTCTAGCTGACTTCACTTTTCTAGAAATTCGTTGGCATCAATTTTAGCCTCGGTGGCCCTGGGAGTGACAAGGAAAAATTACTTCTTTGTAAGAGATACAAGCACAGGGCCACTTGGTGTTACCTGCTTCCATAACTGGACATCAACATCCAGTAGATTGTCCTGCACAACCTCTGTCGGGATTCCAGGGGCTCCCATTTTGGAGGCAAAAGAGAAAACAGACACTGTACCCCCTAAAAATCATGTAAAAATCTCAAACTAATCAGGGGTGTTCCTTCAAGTCGAAGTGCTTCAGCTTGAGAGGTGAGGAATCAACAATCTGCATATAAATAAGCCAGATGTATAAAATGGACCTGGATGCAAACCTCACGTTCTGGAACAAGAAAAAAATCTATAAGTGGAGAAAAAACCAGAACTTTCTCCTGAAGTTTATAGCCAGTGAATGTTAAGAAGAAAAAGATGAAGACCTGTATAAAACTGTTCCTTCCTAACAGCTATTTGGTTTTGAACATTTCAAAACCTCTCTTATTAGTCTCCCCAGTAAAGATGTAGCAAATCACAGTATTAGCTTTCACAATGACAATCCCACTTCAGAAACATTTAAAATAGGCAGGCAAAACTAAATCTTACTGGAAACTTTCTTTTAGTGAGGCAGAGGCTTAGTACTTAGTGAGTCTCTAGCAGGGAAGTCATTCTAAGAGGAATAAAAATAAGAGGGAAAGCCCCAAAAGAATAAAAATTTGTTTTTATGGAAGAGGACTTCACTTACAAAACAATCTCTCAGTATCTCTGCCCTTACCAATGTCCGCGTATATCATCAACTCTCTTTTGCACAGGAAAAGTAAATATTTAATTAATTATTTGGCTCTCCTCCGAATAACGGTCCCAAGTGATCTATGCAGAAAGTAAACCCTAACAGAGCCTCATTACGTCCTACCCTACAAAGATTTAAAAGTTGTAGCTCGGAAAATATAAGGAACGAAAAGTATGAGGAAAAGGGCGAAGTCTACTACTTACCGACAGTTGCAAACAGTGCCCGAATATCTGTTCTTTCTGGCTGTCAGCCATTTCAACAGGCCGCGGCTTGTCCGCGATTCTCGTTCCGGGCGAGACATAATCAATAATGCGCGTTTTAATGTATGTGCATGTCGCCTCGGGACAACTTCAAACCAGCAGTCGCCTCGGGACAACTTCAAACCAGCAGCCGCCACTATGGCGCTCCACTATCCAAACGACCCCTTGACCGTGGCAAATGCGACCATGCTGGCAGTTGCGACGCAAGAAATAGCTCATGACTGTTTTCTTGCGACTATAGTGCCAACTCCGAGAGTATCCACGAGCAAATACAATGGAGGAAGCTGCAGGAGAAGCAGTAGCTGCTGCTCGTGAGTCCCAGCCATCTAGTTTAGCCCTTCCACGCCGCACGTAGCGGCGCAGGGGATACTCTCGGAGGTGGCACTATAGTCGGCGAAAAGTGGTCCGCAACTTACATATAACTGTGACCCTGCCGTATGGTAGCGCTATCGGGAGTATTCTTGCGTGTCACTAATTTTTCGTCCGTTTACCTAGTTTTACCGCCGTTTAAAAAGTCTGTTGCGTTTCGCGAAAATGCCGTGCGCAATTAATCCTACTTTTGACGCGGTTGATTCGCCGCAAAAGAAATGCAAATTTCAGATTTGAGTGAGGCTCTGTTAGGGTTTACTTTCTGCGTAGATCATTTGGGACTGTTATTCAGAGGAGAGCCAATTATTTTTTTTATTATTTTGCGTAAGGTGTATGTCCGTTTGAGGAATGAATTTTTGGCTCTCCTTTCAACTTAGGCCGTTAGCTGGAAAGCCGCTGATCGCTTAGTGGGAGTTCTCTTCCTTGGCTGCATTGCAAACACGGAGCGGAAAAGTCACGAATCAAATGACATACCTATCATCATACGGTTTCGTAGTCATCATACGGTTGCGTAGGGTAGGGTTTGGGTTAGGGATAGGGTTAGCGGCGTTAGGGGGTTGGGTTAGGGGTAGGGTTAGATGTGAAAATTTTGACGTAGGAGTTCCAAATACTGGCCGACAATCTGATGCTTGTGGGAGTGGTGCCACTGGAATTCTCCCAAATATGACGGCAATAGCGTGCGGCTGGTGCCCAATCGGTGGCAAATTGTCTGTCTGAGTAGCATCCACAGTTCTTCGATTGTTTGGGTGTGTATGTGACAGTGCGCGACGTGGACGAGGTTGGTCTGGTGGACTACTACCTCGTGCAGATAGATGCCATGCCTTAAGTTTGCGACATTGCTGTAGCCTCGTCAAGCGTCAGTCACAATGGTCATTCCCGGCAGGACGTGATCTGTTATGATCCTCAATGGATAACAATGGTGGACCAGGACGTGAGTCTCTCGAAGACCATGACAGTTGTTGAACTTACGCCGCAGAGCCAGTAGTACATCATCATCATGACTATTTTCTCGGTTGGCATGTCGCAGTTGGCGAAAAACGACCCGATGCGAACGCTACACCGAGTATGACAACGATGACAACCCCAACAGTATCTGTCGCTACAGTCCAGCCGAGGCGCTAGGGACATAGGTCGGTTGCACGAGGTACACAGTTGCATGTTCCTTATAAGACTATGCTCAGCTAGCCACCGCAACCACGCATACTTATCGGTCATTAAGGCATACAGATCTGTAGGGGTCACATCCGTGGCAACTAAGTCGTGCGTCGCAAGAACATTGTTGGTTATGTGAGTCGGAGCTCGATGTCTAACTGCCATGTTGATCTTGTTGTTTGATTCGTGACTTTTCCGCTCCGTGTTTGCAATGCAGCCAAGGTAGAGAACTCCCACTAAGCGATCGGCGGCTTTCCAGCTAACGGCCTAAGTTGAAAGGAGAGCCGAATTTTTCTTATCTTACATTAATTCCCTAAGCAAATCCCTTTCGAAGCAGCCTCTAGGTTGGTCACGAATTATATCAAACAAGGTTCCATTACAACATGCTTGTCAGCTCGGTTAATCTCCTTTTATCCAATATATTGCTATAGGAAATAATAAATATACATGCTGTTGTTACTGTGAATTTTATTGCTGTCTGTTCCAATGAACAATCCCCACAGGTTTTTTTTTAACCTTTACATATTTGATCTTTACAGTGCAATGGAATGTTTTTTAATTAGTTCCTAGACTGTCTGTCATCACTGGAATCTTCATGAAAATCTCAAAATCATTACATTACATTACATTAAGGGAAAAAAAGAAAAAACCTTACAACTGACAGATTGGATTTGACTAAGTTGAATTGTGTTCAAACTATTATACATTTTCCCACTTCATTATATTTCAGACAGGGCACTACAGAGAGTGATGTTATGTTATACTGATACAATGATAACAGAGCCAGAGGTCAACCATGCAAAAGGGCCCATCAGAGAGTGAGACCTCTTCCTGCCCTGGCGACGGAGTCATTCCAGGAGTAGAAAAAAAAAAGATCATATTTCCAAAATTATATTTCCTAAGGCTAATTTAAGTGGGTGGTGTACTGTTACTGTTAGTGTTACTGTCTGAGCCAGGTTGTTTCCAACTTTCCTCACTCAACCGCAGTGTTTTTAGTCTAATTCAACCTATCATCTGATAATCATTCATCTCATCCTAATCCTATGGTACCATGCATGTGGTATCCGTTATCATAATCAATTCAAGACTGTGGACTGTCTGTTACTGTGTTACTGTTGAAACTTTGTTCACTGACTGATTATGATTATAATCATTATTCATTATCATTATCACTGACTGTGTTGACACAGTGTTGATTTGGTTGATTATCATTCACACAATACAGTTATAATTTACCAAATTATTAAGTCCATTACTATATTACTTATTAGTTTATTACACTTTTTTTTTTAACATTCATTGTCATTTTTCATTCAAATAAAAAAAAAATAACGGTGAAAGTATGCAACACTTCTGTGAACCTACTAAAGACATTGTTTTTAGACATAATCATTGTCGATAACTGGGAATAGTTAAACAGCTAATGTAATTAAGCAACAGTGGTAGTTTTAGTAGTTTCACTTTGTGACTTGGTTTCTTAGTTTCTAGGTAGGTAGGACCGTAGGCTAGGTTTCTCACTTTTCAAGACTGTTAACATAACAGTAACAATGGAACTTTTTAACTAACAGTATCACAGAAACCCATGTAGTGCATGCATGTTCTTTTTCTGTAACATTATTAACATGGACAATAAAGATGCCACTGCCTGCAGCTGAAATAAATAAAATAGCCACACTCACAGGAAATATCCTCTGGTTACCCCTGGATAATGCCATGTTTACGCCATTTTGGTTGCGCGGAATTGTACTCTCGACTGCCTTGGTTTCACGTGGTAAACATGAACTTCGCAACGAAACGAATCAAAATTACCAATCAGGAACCATTTTTCTCACCCAGGTGCCTCTTTCTTTGCTTGTTCTTATCTCCAAAATTGCCTGTTTATTGTTCACAAGTTATGTTGCAAAAAATTGAAAATGAAATCAGATAATAGTATGGTGTAATAATGAAACTTATACACAGATCCCAGATAAATGTTGAGAACTACGCTTCTTGCGTTAGTCGCTCCATCTGGAGCCAGTTAGTTAGTTTGTTAGTTGGGTTATCATCATTGCACTCCGGACATGTCCATAGGTGCCCAGATCCTTCCCTCAGTATGAACCCCAACGTCCGATAGCTAACAGTACCATTTCCGTGATGATTAACAAGTCTTCTGGTGTACGTTTTTTTTTTTTTTTTGGTTTTGCTATGCTGATCTTAATTCCCAAATCTGCCATTCTGGCGAGTGATGTGGATTCTTCTTCTTCTTCTTCTTCTTCTTCTTCTTCTTCACTTCCTCTGTTACCGCTGTGGGTGTCGAGTTAGATATAAGGTTCTGTTTCTAGCTCTTCTGGCTGCCTCGACCATAGGCACATTGTGCTGTTGTAGAGTTTCTCTGATGTTATCCTTCCATCTTGTTCTTGTCTACCCCGTGCTCTACGTCCTTCTTCTCTTTTCATGTATGCTTTGTATGGTATGGTGTCACAAGGCATTCTCTCTAAGTGGGCAAACCATTTCACTTGCTGTCTTTGTATGTAGTCTAGAATTGGTTCTGCGCCGACTTGTTCTCTGATGATCTCATTCCTGATCTTATCTCTTATGGTCACTCCTCCAGCCCTTCTCAGACATCTCTTTCCGTGGTTACTAATTTTCTTTTTATGGTTTGTTGTGAGTGACCATGTCTGGCACTGGTAGCACAGAGTTGGAATAAATATGCTTTGAATAAGATGTCTCTTTGTGCTGATTGGGATTGTCTTATGCTGTAAGAGAGGGTTAGGCTGTCCCACATACTTGGTTTGCTTTACTGCATCTAATGTCATTTTCTTTATCCATTTCCCAGCTATCTTCGGTAAATGTGTTTCCCAGATTTCTTTAAACTCAAATGCCTGTTTTAAATGCCTTCGTATTCTATTGCCATGTTTTAGATCTGTCTTCTTTTTTTCCTATTGACATTACTGTCTGTCTCTTTCAGTGTTGATTCTCGTATTATTTTGTTTTAACACATTCTTCATTCATGGATGTTTATATGTTGTTGCAATTTCATGGCTGTATCTGCTATCCAGGCACTGGTCATCTGCAAAAGAGTAATTCGTTTGGTCTTGACTAAGATCTTCATTCATGGCTGGCATTCTTTGCATATACTGTCGATGTAGTGATAAACAGTCAGTGGTAATAAGACACACTCCTGTGTTACTTTAGATGTCACTGTGAAAAGGGTGAATGTTCCCTGATTTATTTTAACTAACTTCTACAATCCCCGTTTAAAATTTTTCACCTTCGATGAGGGGGTTCGCTTTCTCCATTCTTGCCCCTTTTTTTCCATAATAATTGTCTGTCGGGTTTTGTCAAATGCATGTGGAGTGGATTCACTGCCCAAAGTCCCGTTCCTTATCATTTCCTGAGGCATTTTTAAACAGCATTATC